TCTTGTTGATTTCGGAATATAGAAAAAACAGGTACAACACTAATTAACACCACAACAACACTTTTATTTAGTATAAAATTGATTGATGCCAGCAAATTTTAAGGTACAGTTTATCTTTTAGAGGTTATAAAAATTTCTTTGTCTAACAATGACAGTGAAAATAAATAAAATCTGACAACTAACATGTAACATATGCCCCCACCATAACCAATTTTTTAGAAAATACGGACGATTTTCTGCTTGTCTCTTCGAGTTTTTGATTCAAATTTATAATTCACAAAATGAAAAATATTTATCAAATGCGGGATCAGTTTCAAAAATGTTTATGAAAATACACTTAAAACTTATTTTATGCATTTTTTATGCCAGATATATGTATGTTATGCATAGTTGTCCGGATATCATTCGGATATCTCAAAAACTGGTGAAGAAATTTATATATTCCCTAAAAGATAAACTTCGCCATAACAATCGCTGGCTCGAAACCTGTTTTTGACCGACATTCTCTTACGAAAAATTGTTCAGAATGAACCGTAGAATATTTCCTGAATACGCGATTTTTTCGTTTTTTGCCTCCCTGTAAATCAACACGCTCTAATACATAGCCCTATATATAACTCGATTCGGTTTAGGTGATACAACCAACCGTTAAGAAAACAAAACTATTATACTCGTACTCTATAGCAACATGTTGCGAGAGTTTAAAAAATTATTAAAAGTATTGAAGATGTGACGTTATTTGTGAGCCACTGTATGTGGAACTGTACGCATCGTACATATCAAAGCAAATACCAATTCAAGAAGAGCTTATACTCATGAAATCCTTGTCACAATTTGAAGTATCTGCGTAAAAATTCATTACGAAAGAAAAAATGTAATTAAAGCAACAGTTATAAATAAATGCGAACGATAGTTGTAATTGGAAGGTATGGTACTATTGTTCAATCTCGTTCGCTCAACATGACCAAATTCGTTCGAAAGAATTTCTGCTACTTATTTTTCTAACATTTTTTAAAACTGTTTAGCACAAGATAACTACAAACTAGTTTTTACTTTTGAAGATATTTTGAGTTTGGCGTAATGATTGAAAAAATCCAGGTTAGTCGTTATGACCAAATAAATGTCTAATTTATTATTAAGAATGTAATTTGTACAATTCTGGGACTGGGCCAGTTTTGCAGATGTTATAATCGATCCGAATACGACTATATGAAAAAGAGAAGAAAAAGATATTTGCAATGAAATAACTGAATCTAACATTTAAAAGTTTATATCTCTTTAATTCATTGACGGAAATTTTCAATATATCATTAAATATGAATTAAAGCTCGGCCGAAAACCGTCTACATATGTACTATAGAAATATAAAAAAAATAGTAAAACAAAAAAAAAACGATCACTTCGGTTGTACCAACGTTATAATACCCTTCACAAATACAAAAGCTCCTTACAAAGACTTGACTCCGATCGTTCAATTTGTATGGCAGCTATATGATATAGTGATCTGATCTCAACAATTTCTGCAGAGAATACATTGTTGCTTTAAACAATAACTCGTGCCTAATTTTGTGAAGATACCTCGTCGAATAAAAAAATTTTCCATGGAAGCATTTAACCCCGATCCTTCAGTTAATATGGCAGTAGCATATAGTCATTCGATCTATACAATTTCTTCGGATATTGGGTTATTGCCTTAAATAATAATCCATGCCAAATTTGAATTTGATGAAGATAATAAAAAAGCTTCCTATACAAGTACTTGATTACGATTGTTCAGTTTGTATGGCAGTTATATGCTATAATGGTCCGATATCGGCCGTTCCGACAAATCAGCAGCTTCTTAGTGAGAAAAGGACAGGTACAAAATTTCAGATCAATAGCTTAAAAACTGAGGGACTAGTTTGCATATATACAGCCGGACGGACGGACGGACAGACGGACATGACTAAATCAACTCAGCTCATCATGCTGATCATTTATATATATTTTTTATAAGGTCTTCGACGTTTCCTTCTGGGTGTTAAAAAACTTCGTGGCAAACATAATATATCCTGTTCAGGGTATAAAAAGATCGAAACCCATTTTGACACACATGTACTCTTTATTCATAAGTATAAATTTGCCCTTAAATTAGTGACATTAGTCTATAGTTTCGGATTGAAATATTTTAATGAACTTTAAAAAAAATTTTCCATTATTTTTAATGTTGACAGCGGTAACATTAAGTCAAAGTCATTAAATTAGATCGTTCTATTCGTTTTACATAATTTTGCTCTCAAGACAGGATAATTTGTATGAATTGCGCGTCCTGTCGCCTCATTTTGTGTTAATTTACATATGTATATAAAAACATATTTCATAATATTATATGTAGATTTTTTATACATTTGACACTTTCTTTGTTCGTGCATCACTTCTTTATACAAATTTGAAATACCAACGATGGCCTCTGTTATTTTGTTTATCTAAACACTTGTTGTAGACGTAAATTGAAAAATGAGGTTAATTTGAGCTTAAACTACGAAATTTATTGGCTATCAAAAGCCACCTACTAACAAATAAAAGCTACAGCTGCATTTTTACTGACTTACTTATGTGGAGGGTATTGCTAGCTATAATTTATGGAATTGTTGTAAAAAATATTGAAAATCAACAACGCTTCTGAGCACGTACTTACATAGTCTGCACTAATGTGTTTACATTCATACATATATGAATCGGCATTGAGCACATATATAGATCTACCCATCGATGAACGCATGGAACTATTATACTCTTAAATAAGTGTCAGTGTGTTTTCGTTTTATTAAGCTTCGAATTTTCCGTTAATGTTTTTTGGTCACATACATGTTTAGATACGGTGTATATTTGTGGTACGCAATATCCATAGTTTATAAGCGCTGAGCGTGCAGAAGAAATTTATGTGCGACCAAATTGTAAAATATATCATTACAGAAAATCCAAGAATTAATTATGAATAATTATTTGTTTCGATTTTGACAATGTTACACATTCTTTCCAAAACTTAATATTTTAAGGGCGTCTCCTCACTATAAATTTTTGAAGTAGTGATTACTCTCTAACGTTTTTGTTGTGAAATATTTTTTAAGAATTCATATTGTTAATTGATGCATTAATATCATTAAAATATTATTTAAAACTATAAAAATTAAAATATGTAATTAATTTTAAGATCCAACATTAATCAACTTCAAAAACTTAAACAAAAATAAATTCAAATCTACTTAAAATATTTATTTTACCATAGATTCTAATGGACGTCATTATATTTCATTTTTTTATGTTTTGTTTTACGATGCCTGTCAAAACTTTTGAGCAATGTGACCAAATACTTCCCAAATTTGTTAATTCAAGGTAAACTTGGCTTCGTGTCGAAAACTTTTTATGTGAACGTCAAAACAAATGTCTGGTGCAAAGCGAAGCAAAAGTTCTACATATATGAATTGGCCATAACGATTACTATAATCCTTCCACAATAGAGGGGTGTTAAATATTGTAACGTGCGTTAGTTGCCATTCTTGCGTTTTACATCTGAACTTATAATAATACATAATAGTATAAAAGATTTATTGACCTAACGGTTTCTTGTAACCTCATAATAAAATTGATATAGATATTTATGGAATCGTTTCTATGATTTTGGTATTTTGAAAAAAAAAAACCAAAAATGTATAATAATTCGTGTGTTAACCCAAAAAAATTTTTTGGATGAAAAATGCTACTGATACTAAAAGTGTTATATTATAAGTATTACTCAGAATCTCTTCTACGCGAAGCAACTATTATTAAGTGGAAGACGATGAACGTAGAAGACGTCCAAAAGAGGCTGTTACAGACGAAATGTCAAAAAATCCATAAACTAATTTTGGACATAAGTAAAATAAAGCTGATTGATTCATGATCATTTTGGTATGCAAAAATTCTGTGCAAAGTAGATCTCGCACAAGCTCACTATCACCAAACCATAGATGATCCTGAGCAGTATTTCAACTACCTCATTCGAGTGGTCTGCAAGTTTGATCCATCACATCCTATTCAAAGTGTGAGAAGACACTAAAATCGCCTATGTTTAGGGATGCGCATGAAGGAAGTTTTCATTTTTACTATCGATTAAGGGGCTTGGTTCAGCTACCACAACCATATTCTCCGAACTCCGAACCGAACAGTATTCTCAGAACTCAAGACACTGTTAGCTGTGAAGAAGTTTCATAGCAATGAAGTGCGTAAGAACGTTATCGAAAAATTTACAAACATGATAATCGGCATATCATTGTCGATAGCAACTATATGAAACAATAGCATCGAACTTTGCCGTATTTTTTTATACTTAAAACAATTCGAGATGTTTGCTGTGTACCCGAGAGTATAGGAAGTTCGAACAGTAGATAAAAAGGAGGAGATGTTGACTGGGCGACCTCTATTAGAGATTTCTTTTTCTAACTTTATTTCCGATATTCCTAAAATAGAGAAACCAATATGCCAGCACACATTAACCATATCTATTATGTTATTTTAATAAATATTTTCCCCAATTCGGAAATGATGCTAATGCATTTTTTACTTTTTTTATATTTATAGCCGTAACGTGTTTGTAAATGTATTTAAGAAAGGAAAGAGACAACTTTTGCAATATTTATGTATATGTATGTATGTAATTCGGTCACTAAAATTATGCGGAGTTTCAATAATGTAGAGCTCCATATCGAAAAAAGGACTATGTGGGTCAAACAGGTTGTAATCGAACAAGAAAATATCTTAGAATTGCAATGGCATGGGTGCTATAAAAAGACATCAAAAAACAAACGCGATCATTTGAAACAGCTGAGGAATAATGACAATTAATATTATGAATAAAGAAATTTAAAGAAGTAGAAATAACAAACCGAAAAAAACCACTCCATGTTGTAGCGATTGTTTAATTGTCCAAAGTGATCGTTGCTGAGTTGCTGAGTTGCTGTTGCTGATGCTCGTATCTTTTAAGTTTTATAGAAGCCATTGCGCGTGTCGGTCGTGTCGACTGTGGTCGGTCGGTCAATACGGCTTTATACAGAGAGTTGTTTATAAACATTTCTTATTTGAGCAGTTTCGGTGTGAAATTTTTATATCGTATAATTTTTTAATTGTTTGAGCTGAAGCTTGTGAAATTGCTTACTAATTTTCAATTGATTTGAATTCTGCTTTAATTTACTATTTTAAGGAATAACAAAATTAAATCCTGAAATTCAAAGTGTATATTGTGTATGCGTGCGTTGCTCTTCGAAGTGAGCGATGAAAGTCTTCCCACGTTTCAAATAAAATAACAAGTAAGGAAGTAAGGTGCAACCTCACATTTTATACTCTGGCAATTTGCAAGGAATAAAGCCGTGACAATACTTTCAAGTGTAGACAAAACTTTATATTAAAAACTTATGCGAAGGACTTCAAACTATATTATTGGACTAAAGCATACAAGAATTACAATCATATTTGGTATCTTACTAATATATATTATAGATTTTAGACTCACTTGAGGTCCAAATGTTCGAAATCTTGAAAAATTACCGCCCAATTTCGACAATTTTTTGACGTAAGATTCTATGCCTTCAGGGCACTTTCGTACAAAGTTTTATTTCGATATCTTTATTGGTATTATTGGTATATCTTGTAAAGTGAAAGAATCATATGGAATTTTATAATATAGTCGACGCTCAGAAATTAGAACCACTTTGTTTTTAAGGTGATTATAATTTCAGAAAAATTATAATTCCTGGAAGTTTTTTATTTGTATATAACTAAAAAAATTAAATAAATTTAGACAATTACGATAATAGTCAAAACTACGAAACCACCTTCGTCATTTTGAAGTTGAATGAAGCAGTTATCAATAAACCAAAGAAGCTTCGGATGCAAATTATTTTCTAAAAGGAAAGGGGATCACCATTTGAACACACTAAATATTTTAAAATTACTGAATCTAATCAATTTTTTTCTTTCTTCTTTATTATATATTTTGTGAAAGCAATCATAAAAAATTCGAGACGTCATCCAATTATTTTTGAAAAATAGTCTCCTATAATTGTTCGATTAAGTTAAGCATTTACGAGATCTTCAAAATCAAACATCAATGCATGTCACATATATAATATATTTTCTTCTTGTTTTTTATTTTTAAATAAGATAGCAGTAATTTTCCTACAAAACTATGGGTTTTGCAATTTGTAGTGATTTTTTCCTTGAGTTATAAAACTCGTAAGAAAAAAATATTTTGTTTTAAAATAATAAAACTTCAACCGTTAATATAGACGGTTAAGTTTGCGAAAAAATATTCTTTTTATACCAAAAATCATTCTATTTCCTACGAAATCTTTTAAACGAGATATTTTTTCAAATAGTTGGAAGCAAGATTTGAGTTTTTCTACCTGATAATAAAAAAAAAATAGAAAACTATAATGCGAAGGACGTTCCCATTACAATTTAGAGCTCATACTTGGAGAGACTTTCTTAAAGGTGTCTAATAAGTATTTTTCAGAGTACCAAGTGAAAAAAATATTCGATTTTTGTAACCCACCCTAATATATAACCATATATAAGTACATATACACACATATTTGTATGTAGGTATATACATATATGTTCATATATATATCACGCAGAATGTTATTAAAACTAATATTGCCTTGTAAAAATAATTATACTTGCAATTTTAATAAAAAAAAGGTATTGAATTTGTATGGGAATTTAGTACTCGCGTTTTCCTTATTTAAATTGAATATTAAGCTACTTCTATTTCAATATTGGGTTAACATTAAGTTGTTGTTAATTTTTGTCTTTACTCGTCTAAACAGCAGCCGTGTTTTGTTATTAAATGTATTTAAACACTGGCTTACTGCAGTTTCAATTACTTTCGTATACTTGTATATTCTTTTATACTATAACAGAATTACTAATGAATATACAAGGTGACTATGCCATAAAGAGGAAATTTTGAAGACACACATTTGCAAAAAGAAGCAGCAATACCACGCATTGCATACAAATAAGTATATAAGTAAATATGTGCTTATATATATTTTTCTAACTCATGAGTTGCGTAGGTCACTACGCCCAAGCAGCAGTTCAGAATAACTTAGAAATTTAAATAAAATAATTCCCAATATTGAACAATGTTGTATAATAAATATGGATTAAAAATTGAACATTACCTCAAAATTTAAAAATGATTATCAGAAATTTTCTGAGTGATTTTAAAAGTTGTTAACATAGTTGATAGTATTTAAGATAATGAATTAGATAGCTACTCTGATCTACTCATTCTTAACTATAATATTTATAGTATTTAATTATAAAACTAAATTTATTGTAGTTCAGCTCTAATCGTTGAATAATATTTTAGATTTCGGTGATTTTAATACCATAATAAAACAAATAAGTTTTTAGTTTCAGTTTCATAAATTGTTGTATATATGTATAACAAACTTAAAATAATAAAAAAAAAATTGATTACTTTATGATATTCCTTTTGTGATAGACTTTGTAAAATCGAAAGTTTGCAAACATACAATTATTTTTGTATACCGAAAACTAATGAGACAGTTAAATAAATAAAAATAAACTTTTTCGGTGAAACTTCTATTGAAAACCATATTGAGGGCGACCAACCAAATATGGCGGGAGAAAATACTTAATAAACCATACTTGGTAAAAGAAGCATGAATAGTAAAACAATAAAGTAAGTTCGTATGAATGCGGTATAGAAATTTTGTGTTCTTTTATGGCTATATATTGTACAATACGAAGTAGTAATGCGAATGCAATATTTATGGGTAAAAAAATTTCTCACTAAACTGTTGATTCATTCAGTTTCTACGAAAAGTTTTGTTTCTAATGTGGTTTCAAAAATTTCTTTAGATAACTTTGACTTTGTCGCTTATCCCAGATCTCTTAAGTGCAATAGCAATGTAGATTATTATAATAAGTTAAAACCGTACTGTGTTTAGAAATTGCGAAGTCCAAAAAGTTAATTCTGCACTATATTTTATGCTATTAGCCATTACAGCGCATCAACATTTGCTGAAGATTTAGGAGCTTTCCCTTAAAAAATTATGTTGGGATAAGAAACATACTAATGCTTTCGACTTTACACTTTCTTCCAATCAAGTGTTATCAAGGTAAATATTATCTTCCCAATAAATCAAATTAAATTGGGGCAGTTCAATTCGTCTTTTTTTTACAATATTGGATAGTTTTTAATTTCATACTCTCTATAATATCATACAACTATCAACTATCATCAAAACAACTATCCAAAACAACTATCCAAAGTAAAGTCTATAATTAATACTTTGAACTATAATAAAAAAAAGTTTAGAAAATTTTTATTAAATAGTTATTTTATTATCCTGTTATCTGCTCCGACAAAATTAATATTTTTGGTTGCATTTCTTACCAGGGTAAGAACATCAACATACCCTAAAATTTTAAAGACATTATATTTAAATTTTCAAGATATATAAGGGAACAATCCGTCAAACACGATAACGGTATTTGAGAAATTTAAATTAATTCATGACCATTCCGATCTAGAAAAAGTGGATAGCGCCATATACTGATAATATTGAAATTGGTTTGGGACTGTGCTAAAGCCCGTATAAGGGTTTAAAGCAATTAAAAAATCTTTTGATCACCTCTATATATATCATAGCTGACTTTATACCAAGTAAAATATCTCACTGAGTTCATTTTGGGCTCAATTGCTTAGCAGCTCGACTTAATAATGATTTTTAATTTTATTTCCATAATTTTGATCGAAATATATCGCGCGCCTCTAATTCTTACATATTACGATTGTATCTAATATTCAAATGCGGTTGAACTTAGCTCTTCCTTACTTAATTATTTATTTATTATATTTCGTCTTTTTTTTTTCAATAATTACAAAAACTTGCAAAATAATGTGAGTTTATAATTTCAAAAGCCTTTCAAATTGCCTTTTTTATATTTTTTGGAATAGGAAGGCAATATTAAAAGGTTTTTAAATATTAAACATTTCAAAACACTTATCGGTCACAAATTATGCATTTGCATTCCCATTTTTATTTTTTACGCATATTATAATATGATTGTTGATTCACCTCTCAGCTTCAAACGGAACTCACAAATATACTTGTAAGCAAAAGAGTTAAGCAACAAACTCCCATATGCACAATAAACTAATGACTTTCACGAATACATGCATAATTACATTTATTTCAGCATTGTTTGTTTATTGTTGCCAATACTTATGGTATTTTAACAGAAATTTTTGTGGTTTTGTTAATGTTTTTATGCGTTATTTCACACCTTACAAACTTTTTACAAATAAAGTAAGCGCTGAAGATGTTGCGAAATTCGCAATGAACTAACTAATAGATCAATAATATTCGATGTCAAGGTTTTTTTCCATAATATTGATTTCATTCTCAACCTTTAACAAATATACTGCTAATATTAAACCGCAAAATATTAATAAGGAATATGTACGATATGTATTGTACAATAATAAGCTCATATGAATGTTATATAGTTTGCAAACCAATCCAAACAAACATTAAAATAAAAAAATTAAAAATAATGCTATTTTTACTAAACTACGACAATCTGACAGCTACTGAAGCATATTGTAAGAATTTTAGAAATAATGATTATGGCAGTTTCGTCCCGTTACTTTTTGGAGTAATTGCACACCACGGGAAAGATTTGTTTGCAATTACTATGAAAGTGTAACAGATCGATTCGTTAATGCCCAAATATTGTATATTCGAGCTCCAACCACTCAACAAAGCATAACTATATGACAAAAATTGTAATTCGAAAGGAAATATACAAATTCATATTCATTGCGACTTTTAACTAGGATAATTTTTACATCTGTTGTTGTTTTAGGAATCAGACAGTCTTCCTAATTCCACATATTGAAAATAATTTTTATACAAATTTTTTATGCCATATTACTTACTTTTTTATGCTACTACAAAATACCGGCTACGCGTTGCTGTCGCTAAGTATTTAATACAGTAAAATGGTATTTATGAATAAAGATGAACCCATTACAGGCGGTAAAAAATTACATTAATATTTAAAAATAATTGACAGAAATTTACTTTTACTTAGTATTAAACACAAGTCCCCATAGGATATTAAATTTTTATTTAATTAATTTAGTATTGAATTTTGTAACAAGCGATAGTTTTCAAAGTGGTTGATAACATATAAGATAATAAATTAGATAGCTAGGGTAGATCATTCTTATTTTTAACAGTAATATTTATAGTTTTTAATTATAAACATTTTCAAACTAAATTTTATTCAGCTATTCATTGAATAAGATTCTTGGTTTAGCTCATATTCATTCGATGGTTTTCTCACACTGCAGTGGGGAACTGAAGCCTTCTGAACGAAATCGTATATTCTGATAGTATGATTGAAATGGCAACACTAGCATTTCTCCATTAAAATTTCCAGAGAAAATAGTTCATTTAATAATATTTCCTGTGATCTTTTTGATTACCAAACGTGTTCCGTTGCATAACTGAGATGGATTAAAATTACGCTAAAAAATAATAGGTTGTGATGGCATACCGGCACGTTCTTTAGTTATAAATAGTGTAACTAACCCGATGTATACGATATAGAAGATATGTATGGTCGGATGAGAACTCTCTCCATTCATCAAATCATCGCTTCGTCAAATACGAGGTGTGTTCAAAAATAACGAGAATTGACGTTAACAAAAAAATTATGATTTATTTGTTCACATTAATATTGTCGCTTTTAAAACAGTCCCCATTAGATATTATGCACTTATGCACTTTCAAACGTCGAAACATTTCTCAAACTCGATTTTCGGGAGAGCATTTAGCTCTTTCAGCAGTTTTCATCTATATTATAAAACGACTGCCTTTAAGGTTCTCTTTATTTTCGAAAAAGTCACTCAACACAGAGTATTGTTTTTGGCCAAGAATTCACGAGCAAGCAACAAAGTTTGAGCTTTTAACTAACGAAAATCGCCAAGCTCATAAAAACAAGTCTAATATTAGCGGCTGCTAAAGACAAAATAAGCAATGAATACAGATGAAAATTGTGTCGTACTTTAGGATCATGTAGTAATGTTATTAACATAATCAGGGGTGTTGTAAAATCTGATAGTTGTCAGAATCAGAATTGAAACCGATAAAAAAATGTAATAGGTATCATAAATTCAGATATGTTATTATTGGTTTGATGTTCGAAATAGAAATTGTATCGTTTTTGGGTGTCACGGAAACCAATTTTATCGGGTTTGTTCTCAGAAACAAAACAAGAGCATTTGGAATGTAAGTTAGGAAATTAATTTATTTTATTATAAAATTAATTCATTATATACATATAAACATCCACGTAAATGTAAATAAATTTCACTTACGATTCTCCTCGGACATCAAATGGATTACTGTGATCTCTTAAAATATATTTTTAATATTTTCGTTGCTTTCTTTCTTTAACAAAATAATAGGCAAAATCGGGGAACTCATTGTAAACCAATCAGATTCTGTAACACCACTGAAAATCAGAATTACATAAAAAACAAGTAAGGAAGGGCTAAGTTCGGATGTAACCGAACATTTTATACTCTCGCAAAGTCAAATGGTATACTCGTTTGAGATTTCTTTGTGGATTGACTGATATTTTCGGTAGAAGGTCAACTATAGGCACTGGGGTCCACATATTTAGTACTTAGGGGTTTCAACAGTTTTGGTTCGATTAAGACAATTTTTGGCCGCAAGGTGGCATACTTTAATTGCATTATTCACGCAAAGTTTTACCCCGATATAATCATTGTTACCTGATTTGCATAGTGGAAAGTGAAAGAATCAGATGGAATTGAAAATGGTGTTACATGGGAAGTAAGCGTGGTTGTAGTCCGATTTCGCCCATTTTCGCACTATGACATAGAAACATGAAAAGAACGGTATGCACTGAATTTGGTTGAAATCGGTTGAGCAGATCTCAAGATATGGATTTTCACCTAAAAGTGGGCTGTGCCACGCCCACTGACTAATTTTGAACGCGGTTCCTATAAAGCCAATTTATACCATCTCAGAGATAAAATTTAATGTCTCTGGCGTGTTTAGTGCTTGATTTATCGCGCTTTTAGTAGTTTTTAACAGTACCGTTATATGGGGAGTGGGCGGAGTTGCCACTCGATTTCAACTATTTTCACACCGTCAATATAAGTGCTAAAAACATTTGCTTCTAGTGAATTTTGTTATTATAGCATTAGCGGTTTAGGAGATATGCACATTAAACCTATTAGAGGCGGGACCACGCCCACTTTTAAAAAAAAAAATTTAACTTAAGATGCCCCTCCCTAATGTGATCCTGTGTACCAAATAACAGTCTTGTATCTTATTGCGGAGCTTAGTTATGGCATTTATTTGTTTTTGATTAATGGCGTTTTGTGGGCGTGGCAGTGGTCCGATTACGCCCATCTGCAATACCAACCGTCTCACGGTACCAAGAAACATGTCTACCAAGTTTCATAAAGATATCTCAATTTTTACTCAAGTTAGAGCTTGCACGGACGGACGGACGGACGGACAGACAGACACCCGGATTTCAACTCGTCTCTTCATCCTGATCATTTATATACACATAACCCTATATCTAACTCGATTAGTTTTAGGTGATACAAACAACCGCTAGGTGAACAAAACTATTATACTCTGTAGCAACAGGTTGCGAGAGTATAATAATATGAATTTAGTACCTTAAAGTACTATTTTAGACCCAGGACAAAAGGATTTATCTTCACATCACAACAGGTGCGCTATTGTGGGCTTTGCCAAAATCGTTTGGACCGTTACAGCGGAAAAATACATATATCTGAACGTATGAAAATGTAAATGTAAATATTGCTCATTTAACAATTAGTTTGAAGATAATTTTTTTATATTTTATAAATATAGTTAAGATGAACGTACATACATAAGAGTTTTATGATAACTTACCCTTTAAAATATCTTTGACGCCCGCAGTAAAATTATGTTCCGTTACGCCCCAACTCATTGCAATTAATGCTAAACATTTTTATGTTATTTCATGTTTACCTTTTGCAGCACATTACTTTCGTCTTCAATGCAAGAAATATTCGCACGAGATTTGATGTGAAAATTTTCACTTTTAATTTTGAACTTGCTCTTGTAACTTTTAATTTTGTTGCGTGACCGCTGAAAACTTCAAACATGAAACGAAAATTGTAATTTGCTGCCAAGCAATGCTTGCAATTACTCAAAAAATTATAATCACTATTTTAATTAAATAAAAAAGAGGGTGTAACTGCAATGTACACATAAGATACACCAAAAACTACAGCAACATTGACTACAGAAAAATTATATATGTATAAACAAATACACTGCGGTACAAAGTCAATAAATATTAACATCCTTAAAAAATATTTTTAAGCCAATATTATGAAGTAGAATAACGTCGAGCTTCATACAGATTCTTAAAATGCAACGCAGCAAATTTAATTTGCAATATAAGACCTATAATATGTAAAGAAATTTCAATTTCCTCCTTTTCAAAGTCAAACTTTTTCGATGAATGCACTACTAATAAGCCATTACGCTTTATAACTCTACCTATACACATTGAAATTGAAACAATCCAACTTTAAAACAACTAAAGTCTTTTTAGCGCCTAAAACGATTTGACAGATAAATAAACAGCACATGTTTTGGAAATTTAAAATAAAACAATTTAGTTATAGAAGTTATAAATGATTTTTAAATTACGTTTTCTTTTTATACAATTGCTAGTTTTTAACGTTTTTTGTGATTGCATTTCGAGAAACATAATATTTTCTCCTCAAATATTGCATGTTAGGTGCGGAGAGTGTAATAGTTCTGTAAATAAGCTTATATTGGATGTGAACCTAGCATATTTATACATACGAAAGTTTCACGAAAGTGAAAGATATAAAAGCACAAGGAAATAAATAAAAAATTAAGGCATATGCCCTAGGCATATATTAATAATATACCTATGCTTTAAAATAATTTGTATACTCTTGCAACGTTGCTACAGAGTATAATATGTTAAGAAATATAAAATTGATCAGGATCACGAAACAAGTTGAATTCCGGGAGACTGTCTGTCCTTGAAAATCTATAAAGTGTTATAACTAAGTTCCAAACTAAGTTATAATACTGCAATTTGATAGTTTTTGTGTGTTGTAAATTTTTAAAAAGTGGAAGTGGTTCGCCCCCTAAAAGGTTTAATGTATATATTGCCCAAACCACTAAGGCTATATCAACCAAAATTACAATAACAAGCCATTCTAGGTCCTCTTCCTATAGTTAAATTTATCATAAGCATTCCTTTTCGCAGGAAATATGGTGTCCGCAAGCAAAAGTCTTAAAAGAATCGGTGGGACATGACACCACCTATGGCTGAAATCCCATATCTCAGAAACAACTGGACTCCCTGGACTGAGTCTCACAGATACCGAACATGTGGAACTTAATACCTACTTACCTTTGTAAGCTACCATAATGAAAGTCAGAGAGCATTTTTTTTGGAAATAATATGTCATAGTGCCTAAAATGGATAACAACGGTTCAATACTTTTCCTAAGCCACATATACATATATACATATGTAAAAAAAAAATACTGCTCATTTTTTGGACCACTATAGCATATAGCTGTCATACAAACTGATCGATCAAAATCAAATCCTCCTTTGGAAAACTTTTTTAATTGACAAGACTATTGTCATATGTTAAACTATGGCATGAATTATGGACCAAGGCCACGGTGAAATCTCCGAAAAAACTGTTCAGACCGGACCACTATGTAAATATATAGCTGCTGTACAAACTGAACACAATTTTTTTATTTGTGAAAGGTATTACTTAATTCTCTTTCTTTCATTAAGGGATGTCATATGAAAAGTTTGATGAAAAGTTTGATTACGAAAAATAATATTATGACCTTTGAGTATTTTTCTTGATCCTTTTCTTCTCAGTTTATATTTATTACATTTACTGTGCTGATTTACTTATAGTTTTGTATAATTTTTGATTGCCGTTAGATAACTTTTCCACCATATGTATTCTATTATTTTATCTTTTTAGATTGTATCAGGGTATAATTCTCGCAGTTATTCTGAAGAATGCGAGGGCGCAGTCATACCACACCTCGTCGTCGTGGTCCTAAGTTACCACTACCAGCACCATGTCGAGGAAACTATGAAGAGATCTCAGAGTCACCTTACTATACTATTGATAATACGGAAGATATTTATGGCACAACTCTCTTGCCGTCGCAGCGCTGTTATGTGGATCCGTGGGATTTGGAGAATTACGACTATGTCAGAAAGTATGTTGATAAAATGTTCTTAATTTGTGCACCTTTATAAATAAATATCCCATAATAGAAAGCTGAATTCACCGCAAATGTGTAGATCTCCTGAGCCTTACTATGAGCCATCAATGCCGATTTGCCCCAATTACATGGCACGAACCCCACCACCAGAATTGCATGAGGACTTACCAGTAGCACAACCAAAGCGCATGGCCACAACTATGCCACGAAATCGACGTCGCTCCCATTGTACCGAGTCATGTCAGCTGCGTTGTTACACATCACTAGAACCAATGTTACGTTGTCGTTGGTATGAAGACTCTCGAAGTGAACTTTTCGGTGTAGGTCGTGGTGAATACGAAGATTATATGTCGCGCGTTATGATGAATCTAGAAACCGAAGACGATGCATGCAATGGTTATGGGGGTGAGTCTTGTTAAAACAATGCATTTGTATATATAATATATATTAATTTTATTCAGTCAGAGATTATATAATATGTTTACGCTAAAAATCTATTCCAAATTTTATATATTGACAGGCGTTTCCTCATCTTCTTCTACTGAGTTGCACAGCTCTATTGGTAACGGATATTATCAAGCACCGTCCATAACTTCGGACAAAACTTCTGGCTACGATGCGGTAATAGTACCATCGTGTGGACGACCTTCACCACAATTGCAGTTCCCAGCGCCTCCCTCACTAGCGCCTCCAAGCGTCTCACATGATTACTCCAATCCTTATGCAACTCTACCACATTGTAGCTTTTCAGATTGTTATAATTGCTCTATGATCTATGGCTCTTTACCACCTGTATATGATTTATACAGTAGTAATTTAGAGTGTAGCAATAAAGGAAATACGATTTACAGCAGAACAAGACCGTCTTCTTCACTCAGCAGCGGAATTTACGGGCATAAATTCGGACTGAGTAAAAAGGGGCTTCTACAAATTGACTACTCATGCAGTTGGAATGATCTGGATCGTATTATGACCCGTCATTTCTAAATATCCATATCAGCAGCTTCGGAAAGAACAAACTTATTATAATTATTAATTGTATTGAGAGATTAATCTTATTATCGTAATTGTTGTGAAAGGCATATACATATGTATCCAATTTTGTATATATAGTATATTATTATCATTTACACTGTTTTATTATTATATAAATATTTTAAATTGATAGGCAAATATTTCTTTGTAAGTCATAAATTACCAAAAAATAAATATACATATATGCATACTAATATAGTAGATCCAGCAACGCGTTGCTGTGACTATGGTGTACATTAAATACTACTATAGTAAACTATTTAATGCAGTGAAAACATTATTACCGGTATAAAAAATCCAAGAGATTGTGCATGGGGTTTAATTTTGAAATTTATTGATACAAATATTTGTCAATGGATCATACCTGCATTTTCCATTTGGTATTTTACTCAAAATTAAATTTTTTATTATTATTATTATTTATTTAAAGTTTTTTAGCTAATGTTCAAATATTAACCCCGTGGATTTTTATACCGCCTATAACGTTTCCATCTATATTTATAAATACCACTTACTCTATTGAATAATTAATAATAATATAATTTAATGTATGTACATCTTAGCGACAGCAACACGTAGCCGAGGTATTCTAGTAAAAAAGAAAAATAAAAAAAAAACCATTAAGGAATTCATACTCATATTCAACACTAAACCACATTATTTAAAAAAAATCTACTTAATTTTAATAAAATATCACACACACATTTTCGGAATTAAGTTGTAGTTCTTATATTCCTTATAATCTTACTTATTGCCGATATAAACGCTATAAATTCACCCAAAAGTTTAAATTCGCATATTAGGTATGTGGGGGCTCGGGGAAAAATTAAGCCGATGTGATCAATTTTTGGTATCACGGCGTATTATTTACATGGAAAGATGTTCTCTAACTTTCTTTAAGAACCTCAATGATTGACCGATATGTTCGGTAAAAAGCCAGCATAGGTATTCGATATCTGTGGACTTGAAAAGTTAATGTCCGATTTCGACTTTAATACGTTTTACGTGCAAAGTTTTATTTGCATAACGTTATTGGCTCTCGGTTTATGTTTATACTGTATAGTGAAATTTCATATGGAATTTAAAACTGTGATATATGAGAAGTAGGCATAGTAAAATAACCAAGTAGTTCCTGAGCTATAGAATTTTTCTCTAAGGAGGCCGGTGTCACGCCCATTGTCAAATTTTTTTACCGGCTCCTATGAAGCCTTTCGTACGATCTCGGCTGTAAAATTTAATAATTCTGACGTATTTGCTAATTGAGTTATCGCAATTTGAGTAGTTTTTAACATATCCGTTATTTAGGGAGTGAGTGTGGTTATTATAATATTGGAATGTAAGGATAATGTCATGTACTGAATAGGTTGAAATTAGTTGAGATATGTGATTTCACTTAACGGTGGGCGGTGCCAGTCCATCGTCCAATTTTGGCGCCGGCTCCTTTAAGCCTATCTTGAGTGTAAAAAACTTTCTCTGACGCATTTATCTAAGGATTTATCGCAATTTAGTTAGTTTTTACTACAACCGTTATATGGGAGTGGGCCGAGCTCCGCCTACTTTTTAACAAATTGTCAAATTGATTTGTCCTGACTGAATTTACCAATATAACTTTAGTGGTCTCAGAGATATGTACTTTAAACATATTAGGGGCCACGCCCACCTTTAAACAATTTTCAAACCACAGATGGCACTTCCTACTACGATTCACTGTGCAAAATTACAGTTTTGTATCCGAATTTTCGGGTTAGTTATAGCGTTTTCGATTAATGGCACTTTAAAGACGTGGCATGCACAGACCGTCGGACACATCTATCTCGTTTAATTTTAAGTGTTACAAACAACCGTTAGGTGAACAATCCTATAATACTCTGCGGGAATATGTCGCGAGAGTATAAAAACTAACAGAACAGATTATAAATAAAAACCTCATCTCTTACGTTGCCATTGCATTTCTATCGGGATCCCGATCATTGTTAACCGATTATAATTACCTACACCACTCCTCATCACTCCTTGTTTTGTATTTGAACAGAACTGGTTTCAGTCCAATAGTCAGTTAAACCAGAGAACGTAAATGGAACTTTCTTCCAAGTTCTCTGATTAAACTACTTTTTCTGTGACAACTGAAAATAGAGGAAGCACTTTCCATTCATTTGTTAAATAATCAAATATGGTACAAATTAAATTCTTAAAAGTAATTTTGCTTTATTTAAATGAACCCACTCTGAAATGGACGGTAAATTGTAACAGTTAAGCTGGTTGCCAAACGGTAGCTCAAGAGCTAGGGAAAATTTCGACAACTTATAAATATGTTTACATATATAGAAATTTAAATTATAAAATATAGTATTATTTAGTAAAATTTCGTTTAAAAGTATTATAATATATGTATTCTATTTTAAAGGGAATTAGAAGTTAGTTTTATTTAGATTAAAAAACATTCAGATTGATCAAGGTTTGGATATGTTAGAACAGCTATAAAAACGTCGCCTTATAATTGGAATTTTTGAAGAATTACTTACACAAAAGTTAAGGGAAGCTTGAAGTCTATACATAGAATGTCATCTTTAATATAAAAAAACATTAATATATAACAAGTTTCAATTTCGCAAAACAATTAAATTTCCCCAAAATTTTTAAAAGGACTGGAAGAGATCCTTATTATATCCTCAAATATAGTTATTGGATGAAGATACAAAATATCCTCAAATGATAAAGTTTTTATATAATGATATAATTATGTATGTATGGAAATACATACGTATATCAAATGCAAATATCATAGAAGAAAGCTCGTCACGTTGCCTTAAGTTCTCAATCAGTAAAAGCCCATATACGAATGTAATTTTCTATTTTCATTAATATTGTAATATTTTGACAAATGTAGAGGCATCTCGACAGGCAATTAAAGATTGCTAAAAGTCTGTATTGCTAGCAATATTGCCAATGGAGACTGCACATTGCTAATGTTTAGCAATTGATGTCTAAATATATTTCATGTCATACATTGCTAGCAATGAACTGTGGTTTGACAGATCTGTTTTCATTTCCACACAAATTTTGGAGAGATATCCTGTGCATGCCAGCATAGATGAAAAGTCAATGCCCCGTATTTTATGTTTTGTGACGTAAACTACAATTTAGCGAAGTAATATTCAAATCATAAATTTTAACAAAACATGGAAAATAGTTATTAAATACATACATACATATATGTGTATATGTATGGTTAATATTTATGTAAGCATATGGAAATTTTTCAATTGATAAATTAACTTTATGCAAAACTTATATAAATTAATATATGAAATCATATTTTTCCAAGAAATTCATTATTAGTAAGAAGTAGATTTCTATACCCGACGTCATTTCGAGAATGATTATTTTATGATATCAAGAGAGAACGTATATATGATATACTGAAATGATATACGTTCTCTGTAAAGATGCGTAGGAATAATTTAATTAACAAGACAAAAATTAAAACGTCTCAATTACGTTTGTTTTGAACTTCAATTGTCAAAATTTTACTTTCCATTGGCGCAGCAAAATGCAAAATTTGCTTACACCATTGGAAATTTTTTCAGCCCAACTCAACGCAGATATTAAATGATTGATAGCAATAGATAAATTAAGAAATTCATGTAAAGTTCAACGAAAAGCGAAGTTATTGAAATGAAAATATTACCGCCACTGTGGAAATTTAAGCAGAGAACGTATATCATGATATCATATATCATGATATCATGATATACGTTCTCTGCTCTGGTACGAATTGGAAAAATTGTAAGAGAATGTTTGGACTATGTGGATGGTGTTTTGACATTTAGTTGCGTTAGGTTGGCAGACTGCTTGAAAATGGCTAACGCCAAGAATCGCGATTTTTTGTTTGGGAAACGTGCGTCTTAAAAAAACAGATTTTGTACATTAGCAAAGCAGCAAATAACATTATTTTATGAAAAATATTAATATTAAAGACTAGTTGATACTTCTGTGTATTATAGACGCTGTAAAAAAGGTATAGACCGATAATACGGAACACAAATTTTTGCAATTAGAAGCAAATTTACGAAGTGAATTTTGTTGGTTGTGTGCCTCTCAGCCACAGTTGTGGTCGTCATTGGTTGGTCGGCTCTGCGAACGCTGGCGAGTGGCAGCAGGATTTCACAAAGTGAGTTTTGCATTGTGTTCTAAGTGTGTTTAACAAGTTATAATATTTTGTTATACTGTTTTTAAATTGCTTAGACGTGAAAAATAATTACATATTATATATAATAAAAAGGGGCGGTGGTGTGATCGTCATTATTCGTTGGGCTTATCATAAAACTGCATCAATGAATTTGTTCAACATTTTTTGAATATATCTTCTAATTTTTATGAAAGTCAAAGCAATTGACTTTAAATTAAATATTAAATTTTTTTTTTGAGTTTGGACTTGTAACCAAATGTGAGATTTTTTACGTTTTCTCATAGTTTAAACTTTATCGGACAAAACTGCATACGATTGTGGATTGTCGCAATGTGAGTAGTTGAATATTTAAAATTAATAAAAATTTGTGTAAATATTTAGCCTATAAAGCACACTACGCGCAAAATTATCTTTTACTTCTTTATCTTCTTATTACGCTTATTGTTTACATTGCCATCTCTTCTAACGGGGTAGTTTGGAGTTTCGAAAACCATGTGCTTTATTCAACTGCATACATTTTTGTTATGGAGTGGCGGGAATAATTCTATATTCGGATGTGCTTTAAAATAACCCATGCATTAAAGAAATATGCAAACTTTATGATTCATTTATATACATTCTTAGCCTGGAGAACTTTCTATATCCGCCCATAACCATTTTACCCCGAATACCGCGATCTTATTCTAAAGTTTTCCTGAAAATTAATATGTTTATATGTTAGATACATTTGTACTGACATTATGAGATATAATTATTATTTATTAGATACTTTATAAAATATATCCAATATAGTATGCAGCGGCCTAGACGGCTTGCAATATAAATAGTGGTAATTACGCATTTATTTCTAATTACAATGTTGATGTGAAAAATTAAAATAATTAAGTAAATAAATCGTTGCGCAGTTTTACATCAGTTTCAAAATGTTTATTAAGATGAATTTAAGTTTTGTCTAGAAAGATGGGAATGATGTTCACGTAACAAATTACTCAATGTTAATGTGGTAATCGAATTTATGAACTGGGTTAACAAAATTCAACGTTGATGAAAGATGGGGAAGATGTTCACGTAACAAATTACTCAATCTTAATTCGATAATCTTCGATTATCACGAGCTATGTTTCAATGTTAACCATTTGTATTTCAGAGCATTTATGCAAGCAAATGTTTACTTTGCTTAAAAATAAAAACTAATTTTTTGTGCATTCACTCATATTCTCTATATATTTTCAGTTATTACCCAATCCAACCAGATTTATTATACAAAGAAATGTTGAGGTAACTATTTTGTGGTGTAATCTAATGAGTACAGAATATTTTTTTTTATTTATATTTTTTTTTCGAATATATTTAGATCATAAAATACCATGGAAACCTCCAACGAACAAGTGGACAGTATTGACTCTAAAGTGGAATCAACACTAGAAACGACAAGCAGTCAATTTATAGAAGATAAAAATCAGCAGGATGCAAATATAATTAAAGATATAAAAACTGAATCCTCAATAATCTGTTATGATAATGATATAAATAATACGCCGTATAACACATGTAATGATAGGAGGAACAAGTGCGATTTATTAGAGAACGAGGATGCAAACATAGTGATAAAGGATAAAATAAACGCAGATGTTACAGGGTTTGGAACTTCAACAAACCAACAAAAGGACTTAAATGCTCCAGATTACGATGAAAAGTGTGTTGTGTCACCCCCAACAAAATGTCAAGCGTATTGTCCTCATGATTCCATAGAACGAGAGGATTCACCAAAAAATAATTTTGTTGAAACTCGTAAAGAAGAAAAAATTCCTACTGAAGAAATCGTGCATGAATTACCAGTACAAGAAGAAAAAGATTCTAAAACTGCGGCTGCCGAAATTTCTCAACAAAATTATGAAAATACACTAAGATGCCAGAAACAAGATTTCATTAGTGAAGTTATAGAAAAAAATGTTGACTTCCAACATGACGACCCTGAAGATAGCACGGACAGCAATATTGTGAAAAACCGTGCAGAGGAGCAAGAGAATAAAATTGTTGCAGAAGTCGAAAATACCGATGTAGATAAGGTAAACAACTTTGGGCTGAATCAGGAAAGTTTGCAGAAAGGTATTATTAACCAGGCAACCGAAAATATTGCAACAAACGAAGATGATTCCTTTCAAAGTATTGCTACAAGTGAAAGTAATGCCAAACAGACTTTATTACCAGGCAACCCAAATGTTGATTATTCCGTTGAAAAACCACTAACAAATAGGAAATCCGCAAAAGATGGCGATTTAATTGATATAAATGAGGATAATAGCCAAAATTGCTCTCGCATTGAGATTTTAAAAAACAACCACAATGAAGATGAGAATAGAATTAAACTTGATTATGAAGGTTCCAACCTCACTACAAATGAGGAGAGTAACGAACGCATTTGTAAAGAAAATAAAGGAATTAAAATATATAATGATGAACGTGAACAACCACTTGAAAACGTATCTATTCAGGATAATATCAAATACCTCGAAATAAATCAAGAGGTAATGGAAAATACTCAAAGTAACGAAGTGTTGTTGACAAATGAAAAAGAAACATCATTAGATTCCAAAAGTTGTATACAAGAAAATAAGGTACAAACACCATTAAAGTTGAATGGTGACCATAAAATAACTGCTGTGCCGATATGGGATTCTCAAATTGATAATAGCACAGAACTTGACAAACAATTGGAAGCAAAAAGGCCAGAAATAAACGATAAAGAGCAACTAAAAGTAGTAGAACTTGAAGACTTCGAAAAGTTTAATAGTGAGCCATGTATGTCTTATGCATTTGAAAATAAAGTAGACTATGGTGGGGATTTAGATATTGATAATAAACTTGACAAAACGGGAGTATCTAATCATTCAATGAGTGCAGAAAGTCCACAAAGCAAAGTTAATTGCGACGATGAAAACAGTCACTGTTCATCTCTAGCGTCCATTGAATCTAATTCTACGACTACGTCATCCTCGCATCAACTTGTAATCGATCAACCTATGGATGAATCGGAAGCGGGTATGTCAGCTGCAAGTACTGGATATTGTCAAATAAATTCATTAATACAGTTACACGACAAGTCGGAAAAGGTAAATACTTTAAAACCATCATTGAAGAGAAAATTAAGTACTTCAAATGAAAATGGATCCTCACCCCTGCTTAAACAGCCACATATAGATATACAATTAAATGACAACGAAAACAGCAGATATTTCTGTGATAAAGATCAGACTGAGGCAATGTCTGAACTCATTACAGAAGAACGGAAGTCAGTACAGTTTTCAGACATCACCCATAAAGTTGATGCTAAACATGCTCCATTAAAATCATTACTCTTACAGCACTTACAAAAAACATATTCACCTCCGGAACCTACTGAAAAGTTAACAGATTATCCGGCTCCACTTCCGCGTTTCACACAACAACTGGACACAATATCATTTGATGACATTTCCCCGAAGTTTCCTGCTACTATTTTAAACCCCAACGGAAATATATCTACCGCCACTAAGTATTTGTGCTTTAAATGTAAAGTTGGAAGTTTTGTTTCATTTGCGGCACTAAACGAACATCAGCGAGAATGCCTGGCGGATACACGGCTGTTACCAGCAAGATTAAATGAAAATGCCAGTCTATTGCCTCTTTCATTAGCCCCAGAACTTGCCACGCCTCCTTCCTCGGCATCTCCAGATGCTACAGTAGATATGGCTGCAAGAAATGCTGAAATACAAACACCAATTTCATCATTTATACCGCCTTTTGTACCAGACGCAGCAACTCAGAAGAAGCGATATTACAAGTGTTCCAGTTGTAATACATTTCACGAAAATTGGAATCTGTTTTTACATATTCGAGACAAACACCAGCGACATATGTGTCTGTACTGTATACGTTTCTTTCCGACAGCAGAGAAGCTTTCAGTACATTTGGAAATAAAACACGATCTTGAACAAAACCATTTTAATTCAGAGGAGGCGCTAAGGAAAAGTGTTTCAATGGTAGGCGGAACGCCTAGTGAGTCGCGGTTCCTAATGTGCTGCACGTGTCAACATTTGTTTGAAGAAACTCAACCTTTCTCTGATCATAATTGTGCAGAATTCATGAAACCCTGTACACTATGTGGACAGAAAGGTCGACACAGCAATCAGTGTAAAGCTCATCCGGACGCCAAACGTACTTCGAAGTCAAAGAAACGATTAAAGAAATCTATTAGTGAAGCTACGCAGTCCGATCCATCTAGGTGAATAAACAGTTGTTATGTTAACTATTGTCCTTCATTAACTATAATTTTAATACATATACTTACTAATTACGATCGTATTACTTTCTTTATAACTCTAGAAATCACAAATTAATGCCATCAATACCGCTTGCTGGTAGAAATACAAATGTAGCTTCCTTACACTGTGATAACAACCAGAGCAGTCAGGCCACGAAGGAGATACCTAGACAAAGATCTGATATATTAAAGCATAGTGAAGATAGTAATAGCAGTAGCAATATGGTCATCGATGAATCCTGCACAACAACACACAATTCACTTGTAAACCCTTTTAAGGAACTGGATGAACGTTGGCGCCTTGAGCAGCAAGCACAAAATAAAAATGAAATTAATCTATTCTCTGTTAGAAATACGTCACCAGTCGAGCCCAAATTAATAGTGCCGAAGTTCAAATTAAGAGTGCCAAAGGAGTTTCAAAAGTCAGTTGATGTTGCACTTAGCTCTACAGAGAGCGAGGCAGATGAAGAGGACGAAGAGAACGACCCAACGGTTAATGCTTCTGGTGATAAGGGACAAAGCGAAAAAATTCACTACAATGTAACAGATTCTACGAGAGGATTTTTAGATGAAAACGGTCTCTATTTTAACGCGGATGAACATAGCGTTGCAATTGCTGATGGACTGGCATCGTCACAAAAACGGATCGACGACGATAATAGTCAAGAAAGTCGATCGGTGGATAAAGAATGGATGGACGGAACTAGCACGAACCTAGTTCGCATACTTCAAGAAATTGAACGCACTAAATTAGATATCCAGCGCACAAAAGAAACACTGCATCATACACCAAAAGCGAAGCAAGATGTATCTGATGAAGCATTAACAACATCAGACCAAAATACACGTAACTGGACACCTACCCCGCCAACGTCACCAAAGCAAGCACGTTGTCCGACACCAGGTGAACCCGAGAAAGTCACCACTAGTCCCGTTATAGATGCAGTTACACCAGAGTTACTACCAGAAAACAACCAAACATCACATAGGAGAGATTCTGCGGGAAGTGATGTTATGGATATTGATGAGACAATAACGGGATCATTGCCGCAACAACCCCCAAGGTATGATACAAATCATGTTTTTTAGTACAAATATTTTATCTTTAAATACAATTACAGAGAAACTGAGAAGCACTCGCATAGCATTGACGCAAGCAATACAACCCAGGAATTGAACACCTCTTCCGAGAGTAATGCCACAATAAACGTTTTGAACAGCAGCGCTGATACAGCACCCAGTCCTATTCTGCGAGAACAATTAATGGACGTTGATCTTTCTCCAATAAAACAAGAGCAGGAGTTGGGCAACAAAGACGATAGACCGGCTGCAGAAATTCCAGAGAAAAATGAACATATGCAGTTAGAGTCTATCGAAATAAAAGAAAGTGTGCCTGCGGACGGAATTGAAGTGGCCAGCGAGGATATTTTAGCTACCGATTTGCAGCTCGATCGTCCACTGGAAAAAATGGAAATTGTAGAATTCATTCGAACATGTCTACGAGCTGTATATCCACTTTGTTTGTATTGTAATCATGCGCGCCGAATTGCCGTGAATGGTCAAAGCCTTGTACTTCATATGCTTGCGCAACATCGTTTCAATGCTACTGTGGACAGCATCACAGCAGAGGAGTTGAAACCAGATACAATTTGTGCTAAAATGAAGACTTTCCTGCCAGTACTGGAAAATGAATTTTTTAATTCATCGAGCTACTGTACGATGAGCGACGGCGCTTTCTCACATAATTTTAATGAAAGGATCTTTGAATGTTTTCAGTGTCGGTTTGTCACATCAACCCATAAGGAACTGTATTTGCATAACAGAAAAATGCACCTTAAAACCGCTATACTTTGTTTCATGTGCCGGGCGAATTTTTTCAGTTTCAGTGAGATTTTATGTCATATTTGCCCAGGTGTTCCAAATAAAACTCCTGTTTTCGATGTAAAGTTCCGCTGTTGTCTTTGCGATGTCGACAACATCCCCTCACCTTTTCGTTTAATGGTGCATTTGCGTAAACGTCACTTTGCTTGCGATGTGTGTTTGGAGGACTGCCGAGATCAAGGGCGACTCTCGTCACACGTGTGGAAACATAAGTTGCATCATCTGTGCTACCGTTGTGGCATTGCATACCGAAACAAAATGGATATTACCAAACATCTATTTTGGAAACACGGCACCGAGAGTATAATTTGCAAGAGATGTTTACAAAAGCGCTGGCGTCATGTATATCACTTCTGTGTGCCACCGATTACATTTAATTGTGATGTGTGCAATTTGTGTTTCTCAAAGGCTATGTATTTAAAGGTACACAAGCGTTTGCATAGCGGCGATTTACGTTATCCCTGCACGGAGGAGAATTGCGATGAAAAATTTATCTCGCGCAAACTGCTACTAAAGCATACCGCATCACATTTGCAAAAGGAGGTACATGCAGCAGCTTTCGAACAAACCGCTAATCACGATACAGTGGACACATTTAAGAAGAAGGAAGAATCTGAGTTAGAGGGTAACAATGAAAGAAGCAACGTCGACATTGACCATAATAATAAGTCGGAGAATATTAATATTAAAAAGGAAATTACTGAGTCTATTACCGAACCAAAAACACCTGTTAAGTGTGAAGAAAATGATAGTAACTATAAAGTGGATGCGGAATGTAGGTCTGGCTCGGACGCTGATGCCAAAAATGTTGATTTTCCGAAAGAAGAGAAAACATCGCTTGAACAAGATAAGAACGAAGAGACACCTCGCAAAAAGAAAAAAAAGAATAAGCGATCCAAAGAATCTCTGGAAGATTTGAACTTAATTGCGCCGAATCTTTCAGAGACAGATAGTAGTGAAGAATCGGATGTAGACAGCAAATCGAAAGGTGATGAAGACTCACTCGTTCCTAAAGTGATGTTATCACCACCTTCCGAGGCTGAGAATGACATGGAAGATCTCAAGACTTCTAAGCTGGATGAATGGCAAGGAAAGGGTGAAAAACAATCTTCATTTGAGGATGCGGAAAATGTTGATTCTGCTGGCACTGGTAAAGTTTTGGAAATTTGGAAAAACTTTTTACAAGCTCAACAAGGTGGCAACAACCAGGGTATAGATGCAGAAGCTGAAATTAAAGCCGAGGCATTTTACGACGAAGATAATTATCCTACACCGCGTTTATTACATGTTGCGTACTCTGACCACGATTATTGCCAGATGTTCCGTCCACCATCTCCACCACCGAGTGCGCCAGTAAAGTCGAATTGTCCTTTGCCAACGAAGCGCAATAAAGTTTCTAAATCACCACGACACATATCCAGTCACCGCTCTGCATCAAGTTCATCCAGCGACTCTAGTTCTAGCTCAGATTCAAGTTGTTCTTGTGGCTCAAATTGTTCATGTAGTTCTAGTGGCAGTGATAGTAGTTCGAGTAGCTCCAGTTCAGATGATAGTGATTCATCGCTAGCCTCGAACGCTTCACGTAAACGACATCATAAAAAATCCGAACGCGATCGTTTAAGAAAAAAGAGCGAAAGTGTTTCACCACTTAAGAAACATTCAAATTCGGAGACTATAAACGTGGTGGACGATGATTTAGCAAACGAAGTAGTAGCGAATACAATTAATGAACGCGCACCATCCATGCCAAAGGAGCCGCAAATTTATGAATCAGATTTAGAGACAGCTGAATCAGAAACCGATGAAGAGTTTTATGATGAACATCCACAGAAGTTGGCTAGTGAGATATTAGCACAGAAACGAGCTCAATTGATGGCCCAAACTCGTTTGTCACCTTCGCATAATTTTGATATTGTGGAAAACAGTAGACCGTCCACTCCCTCGTTGCCTGAAGATGTTGTTTGTGAAAAGACCCGGGTCAAACTAAAGAAGAAGAAACGTGATCGGAAATCGGGCAGCAAAACTAACTTAACTGTGAATGCAACATCAGCAGCCACGAAGGCGAAGAGTGAAAAAAATAAAACGCTTATTGAAACTGTAGCCCCAGTTCTTCTGAGTGGTATAGATATTAAACCTTCTTATAAGGTGGCACAATCATCAAAAACAGTTTCAGAGCCTCCAGTGGTACAGCAAAGCAATATAACAATGTCATATGCTTCCTTAACATTGCCGGCTGTGGAACAGTTGACACCGCGTCCGATAACTTCATCATCACATCTTCCTAGCAGGATGAGTGAAGGTAGTAGCTGTTCTGATGCAGACGGTTCCTTAAAGCGATCGAAGCGCGCCCGCCGTCCCAATAAATTTTACGGCTACACCAGTGACGATGAGAATAGTGGTATTAACTTGGGACAGCCTTTGATGATTGGCATGCGTGCTATCAAACCACAACCACCACCACAGCTGACGTGGCGAAAAGAAGATTTGCCGACACCTTCAAAAAGCATCCTAAATTCAAAGAGTAAAACCGCGAGGACTCCAAAAACACCAGGAACAACAGTAAATACTCTATGCGGTGCAATGTTGAACTCATCTCCTTCTACTTCTTCAAAAAAGAAACGGTTAGCAGAAAATTCTGAAAAGTCGTCGGCACGTAAGCGTCCCGCGAAGAAAGCATCTTTGTTCAATATACTCCCGCCAATACCAACACTTAAAATACGGCCTTCGCAACTAGGCCTAAACAGTGATGGTTCGGCTACTGGAAATGAGCGTTTCCCAACTCCTCAAATATACTCATCGAGTAAAGATACCGATGATGAGGATGATGACAACAGCAGTGATCCCTCCTCTGACGAAGAGACTGGGATACACAGACATGCCAATTTAACGGCGTCAACATCGAATCAATGGAATACGAATTCAGAATTGACAACACTAGTCCCTGCTGTACATACACAACAACCAACGGCGCCTGCCCCACAACCAGTCTTACAAACTCCACAAGCAACAGTGTTTAACCATAAGATACCACCAGCTCTGTTACCGAATCCAAATTTTGAAACACTACAGTATTTCAAAGCCAACAATATACGTTATCCTATACGTCCGCCAGCTGGCGCTCGACAGGCTCGCGAAGGCGAATCGGTATACTGCTATTGTCGCTGCCCCTACGACGAAGTATCCGAAATGATTGCGTGCGATGGCGAGAATTGCCTAATCGAGTGGTTTCACTTTGAGTGCGTGGGCATCATGGTGGCGCCCCAGGGCAAGTGGTTCTGCGCTGAATGTCGTCCCAAATATTCTGAAGAGTTGTATCCAACTGGAGGCAATGTGTAAATGTGAACGGATTTGGTTGTTTTAACAGACCGGGAATGATTTGAAGTGATATAACAGATAGATTTACATGAAGTCCTAAATACGCTTATTAATTAATAATTTCTCTACTCTAAATTTAACAATAACATTACACAGAAAATCGATTAATATTAGTGTTGTAGACTAAATATATACAGATTTTGGAGCTGTTTAAAATTTCAGTGGTGTTGAAAACGGGAAACCATGTTTTAGTACTTCTTAGAACACTTGAAACTTGGTAAATAACACAATATCACATATATATATATATATATATATGCAATACGATGGTTTTAGTTTATTATTAGTATGTAAATATGTAATTACATAGTATCCTACAATTAACTGCTCACGAAATTGTCACTTGTAATTCGAGAAATAAGAAACAGCGACAAAAATGCTATGGAAGCAATTCAATTTCAAAATGTTATATTTTCTTTGTATTAGATTTAGTCGAGCTGTTAACTACACCGGAACAGCTCATTTCATTATACATATATATAAATTTGTGGTCAAGAATGTTTAGTTGCACAATTTGAGTTAAGTTTGTAAATACACTATTCTTGTAAATTTGTAGGTACGCTGCTGTAGGTGGTGTCACATTTATTTAGTGGTACTACTATTTAAAATTCGATGTTTCGCTATACGATTTCCCAGAGTTTAAAATATTCAGATTTTTCAGATAACATAGACATATTCATATATATTAGCTGAGCGCTATAGTTAATCATTAATTTGGGAATCTAAATTAATAATGAGTTTCACGACGTCAATATTGAAATACAATACTTTGAAATAATTTCATAAGTATACTTCCACCGCCTCAACACTTCAGTAAGCATGATTTTTACGTTCTGCTCATTCAATGATTTTACAATTAACTGTTTTGGTACAGGACTACCAATAATTTTTGCTGATTGAGTTTCTTACATGTGACACTCATTTATTCACCAATTTTTTTAAACAAAACATTTATTCAAAATTCTCTTCTTCGTATAAATGCATTCTCATAACGCTTTAACAATAGGGGTCATTTAAATATTTCTCCTTAGCCCGCCAATGCATTTGAACTCAACTTAGTACATAAATGTATGTAATGAGAAAGCATCTGAAAACTGAACCAATAATGGGCATCCTTGTAATCGTTAAAACATTTAAACGTGCAGTACATTTTTTTTATATTGGCCAAGAATTTAAATATAAAAAAATGTACAAAGTAATGGAATGAAAAAAAACACAATTAGTAATTTACATGTATGTATTAACACTATATATAACTTATGTATATTATGAATATATAAATAAATAATTAATTTAAAAAAAGATATAAAACCATTGAGCGTAATGTGTATGAGTGAAATGGCTAAAAAAAAATCTGCTTTTTTAAATCAATACAGTAAAATCAGGTACTTCATTAATAGGGAATTCAATAATATCATCCTGCTCCTATTTTCATAATCATATTTGCAATTTTGCTGTACATGGCTAGTCAGCCATAGGGAGGAGTGCTTCAACTTATTTGTAGACTCGATTTATCTTGAAATTATTTTCTTAGTTTAAAAATTATCGAAATCGGATATAGATACATTAAGCACATTCATGAAGATATCGAAATGGAACTAAGCACAAATAATACCACATAGCACAATAATCCTCTTAGTTAAAAATGGTCGAAGTCGTGTTTTCAAACCCCCAGCTACCAAATATACCTACCTTATTATCTGTAGCAGACTTTATACCGAAGTATTGGCCAGTTTGTAGGATATCTTAATGAAACAAAGTATAACCGAACTGGTCAATTTAAACTGAGCGCGCAAGCCTAATCAATAAGATTTGTTTTCCTCGATCGGTACAACTATTTTTTATGTTCGTGTGAAGTTTACATCAATTAGCGTCTGTTTAACAGCTATTTGTTTAATACACCAAAAGTTTGACGATTTTTATACATATATTGGGTCAATGCATTTATGTTCGCGTTCTCTTCACTTTCGAAAACAGAAAATAAGTCACAGGGAACTAAAGTAGGCGAATACTCGTATGGTGGCTGAGCGATGACTCTCGTTTAGTGTTTGACTAAGAAGTCAGTCACAATCATATTAAAATGTGATGGAACATTCAGGTATATTAGTACGAGTCTATTATTGACACCCTTCATACCCAAAACATAAACCAAAATGGTTAGTTGACCTATAAGAGATGTTGTGATCCTTGGATATCTCTTTGATGTCAACACGACAATTTTCAAGCACTGCTTCTTAAAGTTTTTCGATGTTATCGTTATAAACAGAAGTGAACGGACAACTCGCATGAGGCAATGACTTCACGAGCTTCACTGAATACTTTTTACCACTCAAATACTTGTGTTCGTGATAAAGTTGACTCCCTAAAACAATTCGAACTCTTTGACGCAAGCCAACCGGAAGTTTGAAAATCCTTATATTAGGTATTTAGTGGATAGGGAAAGTTGACCAGATTTTATTAATTTGTCAAATAACGCACTTTATCATTAGGAAGGGATCCTGTCTGAATTTCATTGGTATATCTTACAGATTGACCGTTATTAGGGGGACTTGAAAAAATATTGTCCTATTTTGAAAATTGTGTTATAAGGGAGCGATCTCGCTTATTTTCACACTATAACGTAAGCATTTCAAGGTAATCTTATGAATCACATTTGGTTTAACTTGGTAGAGCCGTTGCTGAGATTTCAACCAAAAAAAGGCGGTGTATCGTCCAATGTTCAATTCTTATACTGCTACACCGCTACACCTCCAGATTTCATCCATTTTCATACTGTATTATATGGTACCAAAGGAAAATGTTTCCAGCAAATTTGGTTGGTGTAGCTTCAGTAGTTAGCTCCGCAGATGCTCCTACTATTGCTTCCTTGTACCAAACTTGGAGCTTAAGGGAGGGGTAGGGTTTTCAGGTAAAAAAAAGACTTTTTTGCGAATTTTTTTCTTAAATAAGGATTGAGTAATTTTATTCGGACCTTTTGTATATTATTGAGCATACTTTCGACAATATAGGGCAATTTTTTCATGCAGGAATATTAAAGCATAAGCCGATAACAGAGCTTCCCCCAGAATCGGTCAAGTAGTTTTGAAATGACAGTGAAAACGGACTTTGAAAAGTAGTTTTGAGAAAAACGCGTCTAAAGTTTATGAACTAGTTGGAGCGTTAAAGGCCAGGAGATTAATAAGACAATAACTTTATATTGGTTCTATCGACCTAAAATTTTAAGGACATATTCTTGAAATGTTAAACAATAAGATTAGAGAAAAAAAATTAATTTTTCGAAAGTAAGAAAAAGTTTTCAGACAATTCTTAAGTTTAACAAGACATGAATTACAGGACAAGAATATGTGATTAAAATATGAACCCAGACTAAATATGGAAAGTGTCACAAAGCACTCGTCATCAATTTAGCCGTTTAAGGAGTTCCGGTGCATATGTATATCTACATACTCTTCCATTTATAATACTAATAATTATTTTAATTCTTATAACAATAACTTATTATTATTATTTTACTAATATTGTATTGTATAGATTTTTATTCAAATTTTGGTTTAACATTGAACACAGCACAGGATAACCTTGAATTAACGTAACGGCTTGGTCGCTATATTTGTGACATCGATATTATATTTAGGCTCTCCTTCACAATTTTCTCTTCGGAGAATGTTTAGCTAATGGTCAAGCTATGAGTTTCAGTTATTACAACGGTTAGAATGGTCGCGAATAGAAATTATCATAAATCTCCCTGTATCAGGCATCAAGCGAAAAGTACTCATTGACGCGGCTGACCCCCATATAAAATTTAATCGGCGATTTTAACGAACATGTTTCAAATAAAAAGTGGTAGTTCCACGCACTCTCGCCAGTTGGTATTGAGTTTTCGGAGCACAAACACTAAAAGTTGACAAACTACCGCTAGTTTGTAGTACAAATGAGCAACGCTCGACCACAACTCATACTTAAACAGCTATAGTATTGCTTATGTTCATATACAAAGAAACTTTTTCCACCCCGTTGTTGATTTTGCTCGAATAAATTACGGTGATTCTGGTGTTTAATAACGTATAAAAATTTAAAAGTCACTCAACTCAGAATGCAAATGAAAAATTTGTAATTTGTACCAGTTTAATTGTATGAATGTATTTAAATGAAATAAATTAGTTTAAATGGAGTGAGAAGGAATTATGGCGCCTGATTTCACCATCATATTGAGGCAATAGAAAGTGAAAGTATTTGAGACCTTATAGAAATCGATTAAATATGTATACGAGTATATGTATATTAATTAATGCGTATCTAAATAATTCAACATTATTACCAAATTAAGAATAACTTCTTACAATTCTTTGAAAAATTTAAGAAGTATGGTTACACGAGCATCTAGTGTGCCCCATTTGAATAACAGTGGCGGAAGCAGTAATGAAAGCGCCGCCGGTAGCGCGTCCGGATCTAACGGTCGTCGAAGTCGCCTGCCGAATTCGCGTACACGATATGTGGACAAAAGTGTTACGTCCATTCAGACACGCAGTACACCGGGGAGCATGCCGCGTTCTCGAAGTCTCACTCATGGAATGCAAAGAGTCACTCCTCAAAAGTCATCCGATAATTCAGGTAGTGTGGGCTCAAGAAACACCCCAGTCTTTTTACGTTCCAGGGAAAACGAGTGAGTACACTATACATATTATACGGTTTATTGAAATTTATGTGTTTAAAATACAGTAAGGCAGTATTGACACATTTCATTACTTAAGAAGCATAAACTGTTTGATCAGAATAAATAATTTCATAATAAGCTGCTGCTTCCCACTGTAATCAATATAGAAATCCACTACGTCACGATTTAAGACAAAGACACATACTTTTAAAGTCCCTAAATAAAGATGTGTCCGCATAGCAAAATATTAAAATGTAATGGCGTTTTACTTTTTATGAAAACAAGTATAAAAGCTGATTTGTAGCGGCGACACACTCTACTTATTGTGAGTTGTTAAAAATTAAAAAGACTTTTTTTGTAGGGGTACCACAGGTAATTTTTTTTAAAAAATCTATTATAAAGACAATTTCATATTTTGCTTAATTTTTCATATAATTAAGCTATTGATCAGGATATACTAAAAATTCATTGTTCTACAGGCCTTGATCAAATTTAAAGTTTAGATAACAGTAGATAGATCTATAATATGGTCCTATGCGTGAAGGTGGCAGTAATCATACATACATGTATATTTATTATTAGACATTTGGACATAGTGGTTTTTTTTACAAATGTTTACAAAGTTTCGTGGGTATACCTATGCTTCTTATTTTCCAAAAAATAATTAGGTCAAGTAAGGATAAAACTGGTCGGTTATGGACAGATTGTTTTCCAGATATTTCACACTTCAATTCAGGTGTTTTTTAAAATCAATAATGTTTCCTGTTTTATGGTTTGACGATTCGACTATACATATGTATCTGCTTAAGTAAGGGATATTCCCGATCCGTATATTGAATAATATGGTGCATAAGAGGATTATAGCTATTAAATCACGTGAATCTTAATTCAGCTGCATGATACTTGTATAAAAAATATTGTATTAATTTTTATTAATTTCAGTTAGGAATTTTTAAACTGTTGCTCTTCACTTTCAAATGCGATTTTTTAATTTGGTATATGTTAGTACTTTAGAATTGAACTCTTATAATACTATTTCATCTACCATGTAGTCAAGTAATGGAAGTAAGCATACTAAAAGAGTAAATATATCTTGGATAACTGTAGCTTGGAATTCTTAACATGTTAAGTATAAGAAAATAAAAATCTATGTCTACAATGTATTTTTCTTAATAAAAACATATTTAAGTAATTTAGGTTAATTTGCTCAAAACATACGTATCCACATTCTAGTATATGAGTAGAAAAATCATTAACGATTCAAATTCCTAAGTCGGTTAGAATTGAGTTCATTTGCATAGCATTGTTACAACAAGCCATCAGTAATTTTTATGAGCCGTGAGGAGTTATTTTCTGTAATTGTAAAATCGATTGTATTTCGAAAAATTATGGGCTAGGGGTGAAAGGTACAAACTACAACTAATAACTTAAACAATATTTGTCTTCTCACTATTCCAGCTTATTGGTCCTACTTCTAAAAGCACAACGTCTGACACTTTATTTTACTTCAATCCCAACATCAACTCCCTTAACCACCTTGTACTGGTTCTATTAACTTTTAACTAACGCGCATAAATGTGTATGTGCATGTTTATATATATGTGTGCAAATGTACATGTAGCGAGTAAATTATTTGAAATTGTTTATGGTGTGAATAGTTAGTGTTTTATTACACTTAATTTAACGACTCCTGACCAAACTCAAAAATTAATCAATCACCAAGCATGTACATAATATGTTCCATAGAAATGAATGTGTAGATATTCAAATTACTACTTCTTCGCATGATCGAAATTAGTCAAAGGATACGTTTGCAAGGTTTGCAATATCTACATTGAAAAACATTGAAACATTTCATATGCCCTCTTTAAGTATTCTATATAAAATTATATAAACAAGTTATTAACAGAAGTGAAAGCAAAGAAGGTTAATCAAAACTTATAAACTGAAGTTAGTTGCTACTGTAATCATATTTCATAAGCGCCTTCGGTCCTACAATACAAGAGCGGCATCATAACATTTCCTTTCTATTCTCAAACTTAAGCTGAACATTGGAAAATGTTAGTCCTTTAATTGTTTGCAACTTTGTTCCAGTAATTGGATATGAAAGCTGTTCTCAATACTTTACTGAAATCAATTACTTAGTTAGAATTATGTGAATGTGAATGTCTAACTAATACTTAAAATAAACGGTATAAAAATCCGCTATCACCGATTAGATATTGACAAATATGTACATGAGTCGATTAAATCCTATTCGATTAAAAGATCAAGTTCTGGCTTTGCTAGAATAAGATAAATGTATATGTATGTACGAGCAAATATAAATTAATGAGCTTAGTTACCATGAAATTGTACAACTCTTTTGCTTATACCTTCGTTGCTTACCGTCAAATTAATTGGTATTTATTTAATATGTAAATACCTATTTAAATATAATTTTGACAGTAAATAATCGTTAAGGTATAGACAAATTGATTTTGCAAAATTAAAGCACATTCTCATATCCATTTATTAAATGTTTTACCTCTGTTTTAAATTGAATAGAGAAAAAATATACAAATACATATATATTAACTTTATTGGCCATCTCTTTTAAAGGCTTTTTGAAGCATTGGACGCTGGAGGAACACTTTAATTCTTCGAATACAGGGCGTAGCACAAAATTACTTTGGGGTAATGTGGATTGTTTTTTAGCCAAATCAGTTTAGCCGTTCTTGAGTTATACGTACTTGTATTCTTGTTAATTCCGCTCTCTGCTTCTCTGGCAGTATTTATTAGTTCAGAAATTCAATATAAATTTAAATGAAGGGACAGATATAACCTTCCTTGTGCTAACGCATTTATATATATGTATTCTTGAAAATGTTCTCCACTCTTGTATTTGGAAACCTGCAACAAACGAAATTGAAACTGGTGAAGAATGGGTCATTTGCGTTGAGATAGATCGAGAACTAGTACTACTCTTAAGCAGATATTTCCTCAATAATTTGTAACTTGTTTGATTTTCTGCAGAGAAATCTTTATGTATATTTATATAAACAAACTAAAAGCGTTAATGTGTTTGTTAAATAAATAATAGCTAACTAAGCCTAAGGTTAATGAACCACGTTAATGAACCACGTTAATGAATCCTGGAATTATTTGTTTTCTTAACACCTCTACGTGCTTTTGACATCAAATAATTGGTTGTAAAAAGTGCCGTGTATGTATCATACGTTTCATAAGTATTATATAACATAAATGTCTGCTTTGAAATGTGATTGCACAAAAATTTTACAAAACTCTTTTTATAAACAATGAAAGGATACTTTATAATTACATTTAATTATAAGAAAATGCGTTGTTATTATATATATATATTTTTTTTTCTCATCGAACAAAGAAATACCTAAGTACAAAATACTCCAAAGTGTTTAATTTATTACAAGTAACTTTTAATTAAATGTATTAGTTACAAATGTTACAAATGATAAAAATATTATATAACTTTTTACAATTGCAATGTTTATTTTAGTTTCCTTTAAATAATATCTCAATTGAACCATTTTACAATTCATTTGGGTTCATATGGAAGATAAAAAAATTATTTACAGCTCCTGTTACTCTTATCAGAATTATAAAAATAACATAATAATTTAATAGAAGAGACAAAATCAACAACATTTTGCCGAAAAGAAACTAAATAACAATACTATTGAATATTTAATTAAATTTTAGAAGGTATTTTCGAATGTGTTTTTAGCATGACGCATTTGTACAGAATAAATTATATATACGGTATACTGAATATCGAAATCAAACATAATTCTTATGTAATTCTGCCAACTAAACTCTATCTGAATGTGTTGTCGAAAAAATTTGTAAATGAGAAGTTAGGAAGACAGTAATGAATATTAATAAATGATAATTTTTTAAGTGTGGAAACGCAAGCAATTTCATATGTTTCTTAGGTTTTATGGCTATTAGAGGTTGGCGCAGACATAAACTTAAGCCGCGAAATACCTTTTTACATTTATTCTATGAAGAAATATTTCATTATTCGTCTTTTCTTCTTTAAGTATTGCAATTATTCTAGTTTCAACGATTCAGCTTATATTCGATGTTTCCAGTATTTTCTCTATAGATACTCTTGGATTTTTGCTCAGAGATATAAATCCTTTATTTCAAATTGAATATAGAAAACCGAATTAAGTGGTAAATATTTTGGAATGAATACAGTTATCAGCAGAAATGTAGAGATATAACGCCTGCTGACGTTATGTATACTAACTTTAATAAACTATTCAACAGATTAAATACAATTCTCGTTCAGTGGAAAAGCTGCAAAGTTTTTGTATAATGAAATGTAGCCCTATGCCAGCTGCAATATGACTTAATAAGCATTATACATTTATATGTACATTAAGCTGATCTTTCATTGAAAAAGTTTAATACAATTTCCTATATTATACCCTGAATAGGGTATATTAAGTTTGCCACGATGTTTGTAAAACCCAAAAGCAAATGTCTGAGGCCTTATGAAGTATATACACTGCGCGTAATCAGGTCGCACCTACATGATTTTTTTGTTATTAACTTGCTGCTACTTTAGTGGTTTTGGTATTAATTTTGTCATCTTTGTGTGAACAATCACTGTTCCTTTTAGTCGAAAAGTGTGCTCTATTTGGGTCATCAGGTAAGCACATGTAATTAGACTTGCATTTATCTTCGGAGATTGAACACGTTTAACACCAAATTTAGTGTATTGCTTAAGAGCTCAATTATTGAATTATCAAAAAAAGTTGTCAGAAGTTGAAAATTTATATACAATTTCTTTCATAATAAGTCGAAGTACGGTCGGAATAATAAAGGTGGTAACAATGTGATTTCCGATATTAGCAAGAGAGCAATTTCGAGAAAAGCATTTAACTCTCATAAATCGATCGCCAAGGTTATTCAAAGGGTGCTAAAGAATTCTCTATATTTGAAACTATTAAAACAAAAGGAAACAACCACTTCTCCGAAAAGGCACACGATTATATTTTGCACCGGAGCAAATGGTCTTGTTTGTTTACTTTGCGCAACACGATAAAGTCTGAGATTAAAGGACAACACGAACACAATGCAGTGGGCGCTCACTCACCTCACTTTAATGTAATATAAAAGGTGTGGGGATGATTGGCTCGTAAAGTTTTCGAGTCTGGCCGACAGTATTTCACTAACGAGGAATTCGTTGAAGGTAAAAAATGCTTGATCATCAATTTCCTAAAATTATATTAGAAAATTGTACGAATCGGTACCAATCGGATCTTTGAGACCATTCTCAACAAGGCGGGTATTAAAATAATATAAAATTTTTTAAATTATTTAATACATAAGTTTAACAAGTAAGGAAGAGATAAGTTCGGATGTAACCGAACATTTCATACTCTTGCCACTTGCCACGGTCAAAGCTGGGAAATACCTTCAGGTGCATAAGTTTTGTTAGTTAAATGGTCTAGGGAAAGCTTTTATCCGATTATCCACTTTAGGCACAAATATGCACCGTTATTAGAAAAACACGATCTCTCAATTTTATTAAGATAAGTCTTATTGAAATGTGGGTTCTGCCACTACCATCGTTTAAATTTGACATTGGCTCCTATAAAGCTCGTTTTTGCCACCCTGGATGAAAAATTGAATGTATCTGACGCATTTAGTAATTGACTTATTGCTCCTTTAATTAAATTTACTTTCTTGTTAATGTTGGGTAGAACACATTTCTTTTGTACGATTTTGAAAATCAATAATGCATAAATCAGTTCATACCATACATAGACTTTCAATCAAAAATATTTTACAGCTGCGTTGAGTTCATCTTCTTTCATATCATGATAATGCGAATCATGATACAGAAAAATGAGAACGTTTCGTCTATGTCACTCACTGCGGCTAAAGTGTTTATTTTCAATTAAATTTCTCCCTTACTGCAATTTTTATCCACTTCTTCACATAACTAAAAAAAAGATCCCGGATAAGACGACAATTTCCGCTACTATCGTTAAACTACGGCACTTGGTAGCAAGGACTGCAATTTTTTAACAGACCCGATTTTTCATTGATATTTCGTTCGAGTGTTGCTGAAGACAATTACAATTATGCAAGTGGGTTTTCTCGTACTCTTATATAATTTGTATAAAAGAAACCAGAAATGGAGTTTTCATTTTTACATTTTGATACTCTTTCAACATGTTGCTACAGGGTACTTGTATAATAGTTTTGATCCCCTAACGGTTGTTTGTATCACCTAAAACTAATCGAGATATATAGTACATATATATATATATATATATATGTAAATGATCAGGATGAGAAGACGAGTTGAAATCTCGATGGCTGTCTATCTGTCCGTCCGTCTGTGCAGTAATAATTTATATATCTCGGTACACATATTTCTTGGCACCGTAAGATGGTTGGTATTGCAGATGGGCGTATCCGGACCATTGCCACGCCCACAAACCCAAACAATAAAAACCTATAATTCCATCTGATTTTTTCACTTTTCAGTATACAAATCAAGCACCAATGAATATGTCGGGATAAAACTTTGGACAAATAAAGTATGCAATTTCGCGTCTAAAAATTGTCAAAATCGGAACAAAACTGTTCAAGCCCCCACATACCGAATATGTGGACCCAAGTGGGTATGATTGACTTTTTGCCAGAAATATCGGTTAATCTGAGAGATATGTTATTGAAATTCGAGGAGAATGGTTCTTTGATAATAATAATCCTTGTGTCAAAAACGGGTTGAATACCTGAGCAAAGTAAAAAGTAAGTGCAATCCTGCCCCCAAAATACCCCATATACTGATTTCCGACTTTTCACCTGACTTTAAACGGTTTAGGTTGGTCAAAATGAGTGACATTATAATGAAATTAATGAACAAGCTTTCTTAAAAATTATGTGGTTTAGCGCTTAATATGGTTATAGAATTGGGTTAGACCTGGTCCAAACCTCTTATCCCTAATGAATTGAATTACGATTTTCTGGTATATTAAGTTTAGCATTTATCATTTGAAGATGACTTTAATATAATTTTAGTTGACATGAAGTAAAATCAGAGCATGTTAATAAATAGAGAAGGCGCAAATGTTAGCTATGCTAAACTGTAAACTTTTAAAAGGGAAACTTTTAAAAGGGAAAATGCGCAAATTCGAAAGTTCAATTACACCATATCAAAAAGGTACCTCATGATAATCGAATTCAACAAACTACACCACTCTAAGCAGATATTTAGATATTTTGTTATTGCTTAGAGTTACTTTTCAATTAAACTATTTACTTTACAGTTAAGTGCTATGTGTGAGCGGTGGCGTTAACTTGTATGTCCCTCAATATGCCTTTTGTAAAAAAATCAAACATAGGCGCAAGCGACACAAAAAATCGCAGACGCACCATCATCGACAAATAAGATTGGAGCAAGCTTGCGCCAGCGAATGTTAATGAATAGAAAAGGCGAAAATGTTAGCTGTGCTAAAATGTAAACCATTAAAAGGGAACATCGAAAATGCACAAATTCGAAAGTTCAATTTCACTACATAAAAAAGATACCTTCCCTCCTGATAATCGAACTCAACAAACTACACCACTTAAACAAGGAACCAAGTAAATTGTCACCACCTTATAAAGGAACAACTAATAAGTATATGTATGCGCAGATGTTCTTTGGCATGCGTGTTAGGGAAAATTAGAATAACAAAAAGAAATAATAGATTTTGAAGAACATTTATATAATGAGGAAAAACTGAAAATTAAATTAAAATAAATTTAATACAAAAGGTTTATGAAAATTAAAAAAGGAATAAAACTACAGCTATTGTCGTTTACTAGTTTCAAATAATCAATTTTTATGTGAATATTCCCTAAATTGTCTTTCCTCCATTCACATTTCTAAATATATTTGCATATATGTAAACATGTGTACATGTGTATGTATGTAAGTCACTCAATATGCCTTTTGTAAAAAAAATCAAACTCGCGCAAGCGCCAAAAGAAATTGCAGACGCACCATCAACGACCAATAAGATTCGAGCAAACTCGCACCATATTTTCTAAGTATTTCATATTACAACGACAACAAATTCATTTATAAGGAACGGGCGTATGCTACAAAACGAAGGCGATCGTTTATAAATATGTACGCGCTCTTTTTTCTGTGCGCCTGGTCAATCAAATTTGGTTTCATATGGAATTCCTACCGCAAATGCGCGAAATGAAATGAATGAAAGAATTTGAATGGCTTCAGTAAAATTGAAGAATCAGCAAAATTTCAATTTTACAATTTGTATCACTGAAAATCCTACTTACGCATTTCTATGTGGCCCACAAGCTGCTTCCTCACGATGATGCTAAAAATCAGAAATTGAAGGAATTTGTCTTACGCTCCCTTCAGAAAGGAGAATTGACAACATGGTCTATTAGCGATTTGGAATATTATTTTAATTTACTTCATATTATTCACTATATATGGCATTAAATTATAAAATTTAAATAAAATTGCCATTTATATGAAATCCTTTATTACTTTAATATATTCTAAGCACACTGCATATAGTACTTTTATATGTTTACTTAATATCATTATTTCATAGTTTTTCGATTTAGCCCATTTTACCTAATAAGAACGCTCTTATTAAAATGCAGTCCAAACGGTAGTCGTAGTATTTTAAAAGAGCATAAGTCAAATTCCAATAGCAAAGCACTGCAAAAAGGACAAACGAGACAACATAGCCGACCGACATTGTCGCAAAATTGTCGATTCAAAAAAAAATTTGTTAACTCCGCCACGATGCGCAAAATTCGGCGTCAATATGTATGCGAGCTCGTATGTATGTATGTTTGTCGGCAAAGTTGTCCTTTGGTTTTTTTCAACGTTTTGTCAGAACTAAATTTTTTTCCCGTCTCCGGCGCGAACTCGACGTTATTTCCATTGCGTGCCATCATGGGTTTCAACGTTATATTGCTTAATTTGTATAGAAAAATACTGATATCTTAGGGCTTAGTTACGCAATATTATAATATTTACGTAAAAATATAAATACACATAAATTCATACTTATTTAAACGTTTTTAAAATAAATTTGATTAATAAAAATATATCTGATGTAATTATGTGGCAGTGCACCCCAGACCCTCCTTGCTTGCGATCGTTCAACTTGCTTCTCGCAAAAAACAAACAGTGCAGACAAAAGTCATTGTTTGTGCGGGGCAAGAAGAAGAAAGCATCAGCGTACGTGTATATAAGAATGTATGTGTGATTATCACATTCTAAATACTCAAACATATTGCTGAAATATTCTAATTATTTCAGGGAGTAAAATTTGCTATTTAAGTTACTGAATTGCGATCAGCTAAAATGTCAAATAATAAAGTAAAATAAAAATAAAAATTAGGATTTATGAGTTTCAGTACCCGAACGTAAGCGTTTGTATTCGGAATGGCTTAACTCCTTCACGCTTACGACCTGAGCCACCGCAGAAAAGAAACCGCGGCCGCTTGGCCATCATCTTATTGTTACCCTTTGCCTATTATAATTATGATTTTTTAGTAATATACAAATCTAAATCAGCATGCGCATAATTCATTTAAGAACATTCTTTATGTCTATTTATAGCCTTTTCCCTGTTTCGATCATTGCGTGGTGTATTTCAAATGAGTCGAAGTTGTATTTTTCGATGTTCCCTCTTGTGAAAAGTTCAATTTAGTACATTTTCTCTCTGGAAGACCATTTATCGCAAAAAAATCGACCAAATAATGGAAATCGCCGAGTCCAAACATCGATTACGATTGTCTAGGACCTAAACATTGCACAAAAAACCGTTTGAAACCATTTGAAGAAGGCTGGATACGAAAAGAAATAATTAAAGCATTCAATTTCATGCAAAACTAATGGATTTATTTTTACTATACCTATAAGTATATATAATATAATAATTATTCTTACAAGTTCCTTAGCACTTAGTAACTTACCGAAGTCGTGATGAAGTCAATATTTACTACGACTCATTTATTTAATAAATTAATGAATTTTCTTTTCAAAATATACATACTTATGTATATGTAGTATAAGGTACATACAAATACATACATGCGTGTGCGTATATTTCAACGCACGCAATAAATCAAAGTACTTCAATTCAAGAATTTTAACATCAATCTTAAAATAATAATTAAAGTAAAACGCATTAATAAACAAGTAAGGAAGTGTTACTTTCGGCTTTAACCGAACATTTTATAGTCTTGCAACGTGCAAGGATTCCTCAAAGGCACTATTTGTGCAAAGTTTTATCCAAATATATTCATTGGTGCTAGATTTGTGTACTGGAAAGTGAAAGAATCACATGGAATTTAGTTAAATAGTTCGATTCCGCCCATTATATTGCCGAATGTATCTCTGGCACATTTGGTTGTTGATTTATCGCGCTTTAAGTAGATTTTAACAATTATGATCATCTACGAACTCGTCCTTACTTTTTTGCCAAAGAACACGTGCACCAAGTTTCATTATGTATCGCCATCTTGATCATTTATATGCACATAACCCTATATCTAACTCGATTATTTTTAAGTGATACAAACAACCGTTAGGTGAGCAAAACTATTATACTCTGTAGCAGCATGTTGCAAGAGTATAGATATTATTTTCTTTACTATTCCTGAATGTATATTTGTGTCAAGTACAATCATATAATAAACAAACTCAATCACGTAATAAACGGATCAGGATTGGGGTGCTTGCGTGTCATTAGCTCTAACTTGACTAATTTATACGGCTGACTAATACATATTTAGTATATATTAGTACACATTGTATGCACACGTACATTTATATAGTGCATGTGACTACACGAACCCATTTGCTGAAATACGATATAAAGTTATACACCCACCTCAGTATATAAAAGGTCCTTGTCGTCTATGTTTTCATACATACTTTATTTACATGTGTGTGTGTGGATGTAGGTATTTATACGGTCAACGCAATGGAAGTCGATGTTTGACGGCAAGTTCAAGGAAATATTGTTTGACCAAGGTTGTAAGTCAAGTTCACGCCTAAAATCTTACCCCAAATATATAAACGCTCAATTATTTACAACGAAGTCATACTCTTACTTCACAAATACATTATTATTTACATATGTGTCTGTTTTGATTTTGCAGAATTGGTAGCGCGGACACCTTGGAAATAGTGGCCTCGAAATCCACTGGCAGTGAACCCTCAACACCGGAGGACAACATAAACGTTGTGGTCAGGGTGCGACCGCTTAATGAGAAAGAAAAACGAGATAGATATGGCATGATTCTTCAGTTCCCTGGAAATGGACAAATTATTGTATGAGTTAATTACGCATATATATAATTATTTAATTATAGAAATTAATACGGATATATTAAATTATTATGCAGAAGCTAAATACTATACATTTATGTATAAACAAGTGTTTATTGAAATATATTTACAGATCGAAAGCAGTGAAAGAAACAACAAGAGGTCACGAAATCAAGAGAATGTTCATGTATTTACTTATAATGTTGTATTTGAACCCGGAGCGACTCAGGAGGATATTTTAGATTATTCAGGTATCAAACGCATCATCGACATGGCAATTGAAGGATTTAGCTGTACTGCGTTTTGTTATGGACAAACCGGATCCGGAAAAACTCATACGCTGACTGGTCCACCTGAGCTGGTAAGAAAATACGGGTTATAACTGAACTACAAATATATATAAACCATATACACGGTATGTGAACTACTTATCGGCTTAAACGATTTCGATAGAACCTGAGGAGAGCGTTAAAAGCGACGACGATCGCTGGTGATAGTGTTCGCTTCATTTTTCAGTAACCCTAATTTCGCAGCTTGCTCAACACTTCTAGCAAACTTAACGCCTTAGCCAGATCAAACCTAGAAACTCTAGCATCTAGGTCCCTATTTCATCCCATAAAGCCTGCATTTTTTATCGCACAAGGCTAAAAGGCGAGTTTCTGGCGACTGCGGCTGCGAAACTCCACATCGGCGTTGTACCATCGTGGAGCAAAACTTCGCATCAAGGTACTCAATATGATGTTAAACACTTTAAAAATACACAATAAGTGGGAGTGTGCTCCCCTTTTTAACGTGGCGAAGGAGAATCATATCTTTTGATATCTTTCCTTTTCTCAGTAGTGAAGAATATTTAGGTTATGTTACCCTCGCCTTACTACGGAAAGTACAAACCTGCAAAAAAATTATCAGATAATTAAATACCGCTCTTCGGACGAAAGACTCTCTCTTATTTCCCCTACTTTTTCTGTCTTTCTCTTTTCCTGTTTATTAAGATTAGGGAATTTTGAAAGGCGGGATACCAGAAATAAACCCGCTAAAAATAGCTAACAAAAGCAGTGCGAAACGAAATTTCAAGGAACGACACAAATGCAATACTTTTGAATAACGTGCAACTAAAGTTTTTTTGCTAATTTAATTTAAAACTCTAATCATAAAACCATGATATTGTATTATGACTTATATTGTTTCATCGTGACAGTTTTTTTTTTATATATAATTTTTTTATGTTATATGATGTTTTAAAAATTTAATAATATGAGTACACGTATTTAGGGATGTATATGCGTGATATAGGCCTACTCGAAAACCGAGTACCTAAAAATATTATCGAAATGCAAAATACCCAAAAGTTATTTTTAAAATACCCAATCCATTTTCTTTCGACAGTGGCATGATTGACAATTGTTAGAAAAAATATGGGGTTTGACTGCTCTCTCTCGAATCAAAGAGTTTCGTATCATGTCATCCTTGCAAGAATATCGAAAAGACTTCCCTACGATAGTCTGACAAACATTAAGCATTTAGCAAGCAACATATCTCACACGGTAAATCACAAAAAACACTTTCTGTGACTCTCTCCACGTTAGTGGTGAGTTCGAATTCAAAGCACTTATTGCCTTCTTACGCTCTTAAGATAAGCTCTATAGACAAACAAAGTAACCCTCGCCAATTTATATAAATTTGAGCTCGACATACAAACCATGTGTTCTGCATGCAATATACCTAATCTAATCTACTAATCATTTCTCTATATTCAGTGCAAACTAACACATCAAACACCCCTTTCCCATAGTCTGATCGAAACATTTTTTCAAGACGTCTCCTCAAATGTAGTCGATGACAATTCTTGATTGAACTTTCTAAAGACAGGGGTTAAATAACCTCTACAATAACAACAGCGCGTACCGAAGTGATCTATTCAGTGTCTGATGAGTAGAAGAGAAGTTATGATCAAGCTTTTTTCCCCACATATTAAAAAAAAAATAATAAATAAACGGTTTTGGTGGAGCCTTGATGTAAATTTTTTGTGGTGTATTCATCACTTGAAATAAATCCACGCGAAGATGAATGTTGATTTCATTCAATCATTAAGTGACTAAATTAACAATAGAAAAATTCCGATGACATTTGTTTCCATTGCATGCAGAAAATGGTTAATGATAGCAACACGCTGAATTGATTTCCCGATTTTTTCGCTGGGTTGAACATTTTTTATCTATACTGTCTTGTTACGAAAATAAAATCGCAACTATTTCCATTATTTTGATTACGACTGTCGTTGATTTTGACATACCTAAAACTACATATATAATTCCCTCAATGGAAATCTTTAGTCAATATACTCGTAGATATTTTGGAGGTTACTTCTTGAAGTTGAAGTATACCATTTTCATTCGCCCCATGATGTAAGAAAGCGTTGTAAATTTAACTTAAAACAGAACTCTGACTAAACTGCTTCTTTTGATTTTGAAGAATAAAGTTAGCAATAACATCTTTTCTGTTTTTTTTTGTCTTAGAATGGGTTCATGATGGAATTAATGCAAAAAACGAAATTTATGTACTCGTCCCCTGGAGTCCTGTCACTATTAATCAATTGCTGTTAATTGAACCGACTGCAGTGTATATAAATTTAACTTTAATTGTTCGCACTTTTTAGATTTTTTTTGGTTGATTAGCATATTATAATAAATTATTTACCTTTTAGTGCAGCAGATATAATTTTTGAAATTCTATGTGTTGTGGTTCCTCTTCACTTTTCAACAAAAAGTTATTTCTGCAATTATTATAACATGTTGAGGTCGCGAATAATTATATCAGTTATCTGTTTTTATTTCGAGTATATGTTAATATTCGTATAAATAAGAATCTTAATTATAGTGTTTTTTTGTTGTTACAGTTTCGCGGCAAACCGAATCCAAACGATCCCCGACATGGTCTAATCTTCCGGTCGTTTTTGTACCTCTTCCAGTTGATAAAAAATCGAAAGGACGTAAATCATGTATTGAAAGCATCTTTTCTTGAAATCTACAATGAACGAGTAAGTGCTCCTTAATCTTAAAGAATACATATCAGCCGTACATTTGTATGTAAACTTAACGTAGTATTTATATCCCAAAAAAATGTTTACATTAATAATACGTTTTTTAGCGATTAGATCGTAAAAGTTAAATTTCTTAAAGAAGAAAGTTTTATATGCATACGATTTCTGTGGTATATATTGTACGTATAATGATATATTTAATTGTTTATGATGCAAAATCATTTTTTTAAACTTTCGTAAAAAAAAACAATTTGATGGCATATGTAAACCTTTTTATAATCGTATGCCTTTTCCATTGGCAACCCGAGGCAAGGAATGTCTTAATTTCTTCCGTAGTATTCCAATGAAATACATGATTGCTCACAAAAAAAATTCACTTTAATGCCTCTGCTATAAAATCTCAAATCATAATTGCTAACTTTTAAGATTTAAAAGGCATTTTTTTTTAATCAATCAACATTTTGTTTAATAATAAACATACAAGACTAACACCTTTGAAAATGATAAAAAAAGAAAGAAATTCATAGTAGGTTAAAACTCATAGGAAAAACAAGTAAGGAAGTTCTAAAGGAAATTACTTCAGGTGTTGCCAAAATTATATATTAAAGGAAGTATTGATCTCTATTCCACCCATTTTTGACACAAAAACATGCTATGATCGATAGTTTAATTAATTAATTTTATTATATGAATTTCACTTATATATCTTACGCATTGACTGATATTTTCGGTAAGAAGTCAACTATAGGCACACTATGGGCTTGAACAGTTTTAGTTCGATTTAGACAATTTTTGGTCACAAGGTGGCATACTTTAAACGCATTATTCGTGAAAGGATTACCCCGAAACAATCATTGTTGCTTGATTTGCATAGTGGAAAGTGAAAGAATCAGATGAAATTTAAAATGTGGTTATATGGGAAATAGGAGTGGTTGTAATCCGATTTCGCCCATTCTCGCACTATAACATAGAAGTATGAGAAAAATGTTCCCATGATGATCCAACAATGATCCCATGATATGGGTTTTCACCTAAAAATGGGCGGTACCACACCCAGTGTCTCATTTTGAACGCGGTTCCTATTAAGTCATCTCATACCATTCCAGAGATAAAACTTCGCGCTTTTAGTAGTTTCTAATAGTACCGTTATATGGGGAGAAAAACATGATTGCTTACAAAACCTGGTTCCACCCATTTTCACACTGTCGATAGAGGTCCTAAAAACGCTTGCTTTCAGTGAATTTTGTTATTGTAGCTTTAGCGGCTTAGGAGATATGCTCATTAAATCTATTAGGGGTCGGGACCACGCCCACATTTTAAACTGCAGATGCCCTACCCTAATATTATGGAAATTTATTTATTTTTGATTAATGGCATTTTGTGGGCGTGGCAGTGGTCCGATTACGCCCATCTGCAATACTAAAAACTATTATACTCTGTAGCAACAGGTTGCGAGAGTATAAAAATGTAGCGAAAAGATTTAACTTCATTGTTCGATGAAATGGTGAATGGGTCACAATCAAATTAGGTATCATATTAACTTATTTTGGAGGTCATAGACTCACTGAATTTTATTACTATACTTTACTTCCTGTCAGCGAAAATTATACTAAAATCATTGCAGCCAGACGTTTCAACATCGTGAATATTAGTTATAAGGGGCCTAAGGCAAGTTTCATATTGGCCGATATCAACTGGAAGTTCGAAAATCTTTATATTAGGTATATGGGGACTAAGGGAAGTATTGATCCGATTATACCAATTTTGGATACAAGGATATATTATTATCAAAAAAACATTTTCCCTGAATTTGAATTATATATCTCACAGATTGACCGATATTTTCGGTAAAAAGTCAGTTATACGCACTGGGGTCCACATATTTGGCGTCTGAATTTTTAAAAAGATCCGATTTCGACAATTTTTGATTGTCAAAATACCTTGAGGGCAGTATTGGTGCAAAGTGTTATCCGGATACATCTTTTGGTTCTACATTTATATACAGGAAAGATGAATGAATTTTAAAATTTAGTTATATGGGTAGTAGACGTGGTTTTTGTCTGATTTTGACCATATTCTCACTGTAGGAATGTCAGAAGAATTTTACCTACCGAATTTGATTGAAATCGGTCGTGTAAGTCCCGAGATATGGATTTTCCCCTAAATGTTGGCGGCGCCACGCCCATTGTCCAAATTTTACACCGGCTCCTTTTGTTATTATCTGGGGTGTAAAATATGTCTCTGAAGAATTCAATTATTGATTTATCGCACTTTTATTACATTTTAACAAAACCGTTTTATAGGAAGAGGGCGGGGTTATAATCAGATTCCATCCATTTTCGCACTAACGGTAAGGGCTCTTTAAGGATTTGTTCTAAGTGAATTCAAGTATTGTCATTTAGAAGGTATGTACATTAAACCTTTTAGAGGGCGAAGCCACTCCAATTTTTTCAAAATTTGTTTTCCACAGGTGCCCCTCGCTACCGCAATCCCCTGTACCAAATTACAGATTTATGTCTTCATTTACCATATTGCAATCTATGTACTAAAGTTATAGATCTTTTCATTACCTACAACATTGCCATATAACGGTTTTCTATAAGACTCGTGGTTTTGCCGAAAATCGAGATAAACCATTTCTAACCCTTTAAAATTCAACCACGCCTCTTCCCTTCTTTTTTCCCGACCCCAGATCGCCTGTAAATTATTTTTGCTGTAACGTTTGTTTACTATGGGTTTCAAGTGTACTTTGTACGAATAATATGGTACGAAGCATCCCACGCCTTTTTTAACAATACAAGTATTTTTCGGTCAATGCTGCCAGTTTATATTAATAACATTTTTCACTTCTTAGTTTGAATGGTTCAAAACGCCTAGTTTAGCTTTTTTAATCATTTTTATTATTTAGCCACACATGTTGTTTTCACTTTTTTTGAGGATGGGTTTGAGTAAATTTGTTATTCAAATTACAGCATGGATATTTTTCTTTGTTTTTTTGCAGTGCCTTTCAATTTGTTGATTATTTTGTCACAGTGCCATCCAGTTTCAGTGTCCCTAAAAAAACGTTACAAACATACATATTAAGCTAATAAAAGCGTTATAAAGAGGGCCCTGCCATTTGCCATTTTTTGTGACGTTTTAGTTTTCGAAGTTGGCAATTATTTTTCAAACTGCTGCATTAGTTGGTGGTGACAGAAATTCCCGACAATATTAAAGTAGGTTTATCCTCCACTATTAAGTTTAGTTTAACCACTTTAATGATTAATTTTTGCCAAGAATCAGACTACTTCTTAGCTGACATATACTTGAGTTTCGACAGTGCAATTGTAGTGCGAATGGCGTTTACATTTTAGATAGTTAAAATTTGTGTATTTGAAAATGAATCCTTGAAGATAATATATATTATAAATCAAATAAAAATATTTTTTAATTTTTGTTTAAAATATAATACTAATTATTATTTTTTTGCTGAAACGATTGTGTCAAGTTATGATGATTTAGAGTGCATCTTTTCTCGGGAGTTTTGTATTTCGCAAAAAAGATTCAAGGGCAACCAAAACTTAATAATCACTTAATTTCTAACAGCGTTTGTATATAATATTTCCAACTGTCTACAAAAATTTCAATTCAATCAAAATTGTTGGGCCTAATTGTGAACCGATATATTTGGTATAAATTCAATCAATACTCATAGTTCATAGTAGCTGAGGTTTATTTTAATATCTTCTTAGACGGTTGAGTTACCAATTTGAAGATAAAATAATCTGATAGGATTCAAAATTGCTTTCTAAAGGAACTAGGCGTGGCTGTGATTCGATTGATGCCACTTTCAACTTGTGGTAAAATTTAAATCTTTCTCGTTTAGTTTTAGGTGCTCCAATAAACAGTTAAGTTATTAAAACTATTCACTGATTCCTTAGAAATAGTGTTGAATAAGTAACTGGATTTTAAAAATTTAGAAATAACGCACAACATTTTTCTATACATATTGTACATATATACATATGTACTTATACTTGTATGTGTGCAAGTCTGCATGGTTGTGTTTTCACTTTTTAATTTCCCGAATATTCCTTCGTAGTGCTCTTCTAATGTAAATATATATGCATATATGATGCAGATACCAAAGCTGCTTTTACCCACCACAGTTAGATTGCATATCGAAGTGACAAAGCGTGTATTCGCCAAAGTAAACACTGAATTTTAAATGTCATGCAAAATGAGTCAAATGGAATATGGTTTTACTGCGCTCCTTGCTATCGTAAATAAATCACTAGTGTCTCACGCAAATTGTCAATGTAAATACCGGATGACGCGGTGGTCAGGGACTGCACAAATTGTATTGCATTTATTGGTTACATGTGCACACACGCATGCTCGAAAGCTTGTATGTAAAAGTAGTTATTTAGCTTCTACCCAGCGGGTTAGTCTTTTAAAAGTGTTATTTTTCGCAAAAGACAACTTAGGTTCTTCGGTTTGTTGAAATAATTGTATGTAAATGTTGATTCCACTACATACCCCGCAAATATTCTTAATTTTACAGTACATATACCATATACATATGTATGTTAACTAAAGCAAATATATTAAGATAACATTTATACATTTATTCGCAATGGATTGGAGTTACGATTATTCAATACCAATAACATTTTATAAGGACAAGCTTCATAAGATAATGTATGGCTGCACCCAAACTGAGTTCTTTTTTACTCTTTTTAATGGTTGGAGTATTACATAATTTTTTTTGATTTTGGATTTTGAAATCTTAAGTTGAGAGAACTGCTCTAATAAGCGTGGTCTTTAAAATGGCTTTAATTTTAAATAATGGTACATATGTATGTGTATATTTTGTCTAAAAAGGATGAATAACGCATACTTAGAGACTCTCACGAAGCGCTATATAAAAACCATTTATATTCCACTATATAAATCCATACGTTTTCGAAAATGTACATGCGAAAATTTGTACTGTTTTTATTTATTTTGTTTTATAGGTGATTGATTTATTGAATCCAGGATCAGCGAAAAAGTCGCTGGCAGTCCGTTGGTCGAAAAAATCCCGAGGCTTTTTTGTAGAGAACCTTTTCACTGTCGATTGCGAAGAGTTAGACGACCTGTTAGCAGTTCTGGAAGAAGGTAAGTTTAATAATAAAACGAAGGGCGTGGGGTACTAACTTTACAGATTTAACTAAAGTGTTTCCAACATATTGTATGCAGACCTTGCTCAACCTACTAAACGACGATAGGTTCAGGCATTTCCAATGCTGTCGTTTCAGTTTATTTTATACCGAAATATCGTTTGCTAAAAGAGATATATAATGTTTTATTAATCAAGAATATCTCGCTTTGCATATCAACAATAAATAATATGGGGACGCAGTACTGATATCATGGATATAGTGCTTTCCTTCAATAAAGCTGATATAGAGCATAAAGTCTAGTATAGTATACGGTACCAAAAAATTACAAAAACAAATTTTTACAGAGAAAAACTCTTGATTTGCACAAAATGTGATAAGTCTAATGTTGGGCAGTACCCAAAGACAGTTCCTTCCTTACTTTTTTAATTACTTTGCTCAATTTGAAATAGCGTGCTTCCTTTGCATTATACTCATTGCTGGCACTAGGTATTACGGGAAATGTTGATTTTATAAGAATATTCACTATGCCGGAATAATTGACAATAACAGGGTTATACCAGTATACAGTAGCTTGCTTATTGTTATATATTGTAGAATGCAATGAGTATAGTAACATTTTTATTAGGCATGTTCTTCAATTCTAACTGTTACAGCCTATATTAAATGATTTTTTTCATGGCGGAATAAAATGAATTAGATATAAAGTTTTAATTAAAGCATTATTTTCTTTCAATGTCCACTATGTTAAGCATGGAATATAATATGGCATAGTTCCAATGTCTCATTGGCCATAGAATGGGTGGCCCGTCTTTCAAGTGCTCTTTCACTTAAATATGGCGGCCTATTACAAAACCAAAGATTCAAATGTACGTTGCAGGGCGATAATTTATGTTACCGGCGGTGTAGCATGTAGCGCCATCCTGCTGATACATACATATGTATGTATATCATAACTCAATTTGAGCCAAATAAATGGATTATTATATTAATATTTCACTGTGAATTTTGACGACTAATCAAATTCAAATAAATCATTGAGTCCATCACACGAAACATATACCAACAGTTGGATGACATTTTATTTGGATGCATTGATACTTCGTAAAACTAGGGGGGTTTTCATCTTGTTGTTCTGGCTGTAGTTTTTAAAAATTTTTACCATCGTGACAGTCTGTTCGCATATTAATCAAACTTGGTATAACTTTAAAATTAGGTAGAAAATAATAATTCAACGATTACCATCTCCATAATCACGCCCGTAAAGACGGCGTGAGGCCGTTGGATTTATAAACTAGTCGAGTCAATAACATAGCATAATTTGAATAGAGGCAATTACTGTTCTATACCTTTAAATCCAATAATATCTATTTTTTGACTACCCATCCTCTTAAAATTAGATAAACTGGGTACTTAGATACCATAAAGTTATTTGGTTCCTAAAATATACGAATTCGGTACATATCTATCAAATACAGTAGATACAAATAACCATACGAACACATGGTTGCTAATTTCATATTCGCAATGTGCCAATTTGAATTTTAATTTGGTTATTGATTTTTTTACCTATACATAGAAATCGGCTATCTTTATTAATGTCATAAATGGTCCCATCAGCATTTTAAAACGATTAAATACACACATACATATATCTACATACATACTTTAATAAAGTAATTACGCAATGAAGAAACATTCTATTCTTTAATTCTATCTTTATACTAAAACAAAGTTATTTTGTCCCCGAAAACTCACTTTAAGATCAATGCTATTGATCAATTTAATTACCTTAGCATTCGCAATTTTAACCAATAATAATTATCAGGGCAATATGGAGCACTATGATGCTGAGAGAAAGGTTTTAAGCCCGAGCTATATAACATTCGTTTGAATATATGTAGAACTTGAAGGTTATAAATAAAATAAAAACATGTAAATGTGTTGTGAAATTACTGAAAAGGCAGGCACTTTATTTTTTCTTTCTCCAGTTAACAGTATTTTCGACCGAATTAAATAGTATTAGTCTCACCCACAGCTAAGTATATTTGTATATGTATAAATAAGCACATATTTAAACATATAGTACCGCAACATATGCTAATTTCCCCATTTTAAAAATTAAAACAGTTTTGGTTCAAGTAAAATTATTTATTAAAATTATTATTAATTTTCATTTCTATTCATAATTTATTGATTGCTCTCAATTATACTACATGTGCTGAAAAGTCTTTGACCTAAATTTAATCTTGGATTCCAATCACTCCTATAAGGCACAGGGATGTTGATTATGAATAGTTGTAATTCAATATGAATCCGAGGAACTTCCGAACGATAATAAACCGACACGCATAGATCAGTACTTTAAAGTTACATATGATGGGGCAAAATGGTTGTAACACTTATTAAACAAGCAAAAAAAGTTAAACTTCGACTGTACAATTTATTCAATGGTTATGGCTCTGCCTTGAAAGATAATGTGTGCAAAATTTCGTGGGGATACCTTAACAAATTAAAAAGTTTTCCATACAAGGACTTGAGTTTGATCAGTCAGTTTGTATGATAGCTATATCCTATTTCCAACAAATTACAGCTTCTTGGGAAGAAAAAAACATGCATAATTTTGGATTGATATATCAAAAGGGAGAAAATAGTTTGCGTAGATACAGACGGACATAGCTAAATCGACTCAGCTCATCACGCTGATCATTTATATATACATATATTTTATAGGGTCTCCAACGTTTCATTCTGGGCGTTACAAACTTCATGGCAAACTTGATATACTCTAATCAGGGCATAAAAACAGGTGTTTTTATGCCCTTCCAACATGTTGCTACAGAGTCTAATAGTTTTGTAGTGTAATACAAAAAACTGTTAGGTGAACAAATATATATATATATGTATATACATATAAATGATCAAGATGACGAGACGAGTGCAAATCCGGATGTATGTCTGCCCTTCCGTCCGTCCGTCCGTCCGTCTGTGTAAGCTGTAACTTGAGCAAAAATTGAATTGAACAAAACGCAAATAATTAAAATTCTATAAATTGCCTAAGCTCCACAATAAGATACAAGATTGTTATTTGGTACAACGAATCGCATTAGAATCTGTGGTTTTTCAAATTTTGAAATACTAAAATGAAATAATACTTCCCTTAGCCCACATATACCTAATATAAAGATTTTCGAACTTCCAGTTAACATTATATCACAAAAATCGGCATATATGTAAATGGATCAAATCGAGAGAAAATCCAATAAAGTTTTGTGAATACCCGAAGCTATTACCCGAGCATTTGTCCTTGGAAGTTGCAAGAGTATTAAATGTTCGATTACACCCAAACATAGCTCTTCCTTACTTGTTATATATGTACATATATAGATGTTTGTACAATACATACATATACTCATATGTATAGACTAGTTTTACCCGTGGCTTCGTACTGAATCCCTTAAATAATAATCAAAAATCAAAATAATAATCAAAAATAAATAACCAAATACTTAGTCTTTACATTAATACTATACCGCAATGATCATCTTCGTGGTGGTGGTAACCAGAAAACCTTGACCAGTCTAAAGGCCTTAAAAATGCCTAACTTGTGTTCTATTCCAGGAGTAAGAAACAAAAAATCGAATTTCTTCCTTTCACCCTTTATCAAACATGTATTTGAGAGTTTTAACGTTCAATAGTTTATTAAAACAAAGTTGTAAAATCGTACAAAGTTTATTAGATAATGTTTTGTTTTTGCTTTATTTTTAGGGATGAGAAATCGCGCTGTGGGATCCCATGCCATGAATGATCATTCATCCCGTTCGCATACAATGCTCACGGTGCATATTATTTCAGAGCAACAAACCGATGGTGGAGTTTTTATTTCAAAGCATGGAAAAATCAATTTTGTAGACCTGGCTGGTAGTGAACTCACCAAGAAAACGCTAAGTGAAGGCAAAACTCTGGAAGAAGCTAATAATATAAATAAAAGTTTGATGGTTTTAGGTACAATCACTCAATTTCAACTTTGCGGCAGACACTGATTTCTTTTATATACAGGTTATTGCATTGCGTCATTGAGCGACGGCAAAAAAAGATTTGGTCACATTCCCTACCGGGATAGCCAACTAACTAAATTACTCGCTGACAGTTTAGCTGGAAATGGTGTTACACTGATGATCGCTTGTGTATCTCCAGCGCAATATAATCACGCCGAAACCTTGAACACCTTACGTTATGCTTCAAGGGCCAAACGTATTCGTACGAAACCTGTCATTATGATGGATCCACGTGAGGCACTCATCCTTAGTCTAAAACGTGATATAAACGCTTTAGTAATGGAAAATGATCATCTCAAGTCCGCACTCAATTTGCACCATGAATCGCTCAAGACTCCGAATGAAAAACACCAGAATGGAGAATTATTAGAAATGCATCTTGAGCGTGTTGGCACAGGTGGCATGGCAGTACCAAAGGTTGATTTGGAACGTTTGGCAGAGCTGGATGGCAATGAACTAGCGGAACTAGTGAAATTATATATGCAAGAAAATGAGTCATTGAGACAGGAAAACAATCACCTATTTACAGTCCGCGAAACCATACTCAGGGACCAAGAAATCGTATGTCGAGAAAATGAACGATTGTTAAAAAAGCTTGAGGATGTTAATAAGTGAGTTCGCACTAAAGTTATATATGCTCATCACAAAACATTTATTGAAATATATACACACATGTCGACGTAGAAACTTACATACAAGTATATACTATTTCTATTCTGTGGCCGTGCTCATTGTTCTTCTTCTCCTCTCGTTTTAGATCGAGATTCGAGGTGTCGAACATTGAGCCGGACACATATTAGAGAGCCAAAATAGCAAAAGAATGACGAAAACGCACAAACAACTCTTTAACATACTCCTATACATACATACATACATATATACCCACAATCATACATTTTACATACTTTTCAAGGCCAAAATTGGAATATATCTACATTATTGCCCGTTTGTCCTCTAAGGATATTTGTGTTGTTGTGCAGATGTTGCATTATAAATATGGATGTGTTTGTATATTTTTTGAGCTATTTTTTAGTTTATAAGAAATAAACTAATTAAAAAAAAACATTTTGAAGTAATAATTACCTTCGTGTCAAAGATGAAATTACTGATTATACTACTCCTATCAAGGGTTTGTGTGCGCTCACCTCTAATACCCGCCCGTTCCGCACTAACAGCCGAATCTGGAAATGGCACAGCAGGATCCGAGATTTGGACAAATCCTCACGATGTACCTGTCAACCAGGTTAGAACCAATTTCAAAACTGTTTTAAATACATACTTATATACATATGTACATGTAACATATATATTCATATTAAAACTAATTTTCCTTAATAAAGCGCCCCGCTGAAATGGAAGGCAGGATATCGGAGAATAAAGATAAGCGCTCTGATGAGGACCAACGTATAATCGATCAACAACGCATTGCAAAAAATATTATGTTGATGGCCAGTTCATTTCCGAAAAGGCCTAATGAGATATACAAAGATGGACACCAAACTGAAGAAAGGACAAACGACAAACCGAAAACATCCCAAGCAGATTATATGCCAGAGTAAGTTACTCGTGAAGTCCCCTTTTGCAGCAACCTAATTGATAATTTTCTGGAACCTTTTTCTTCTCGATTGCAGCATGCTTATATGAACAAATAAACACCTCAGTTAATGTCGTTATATTATATACGAGTATGTGATATAGATTTGGTGTAAGACACATCGTCTATTAAGTACAAAAAGAAAAGAATACCTGAAACTACTCAAAAGCTATATATGTACATATATATTACTAAATATCTAAATACTATCTCTACTATATACTGTATTTAAGTTGGAAAATGAGATCTGCTATAACGGAAAATTGATACATAGTACACATACGAAATACAAGCTTTATGCTTATAATTTCTGTATATTTACTGAGCTCTGGAGAAAGTATGCATCCTCTGGGTTTTGGAATTAAATTTTAATTTAAAGTGTAATTACAGTTGTTGCTTAAATTTGCAGACAATGATATTTTCAAACAGAAAACCAAATCTTAATATGTAAATATATTTCGAAATATTCAAATAAATGGAATTGTTTTTGTTGGAAGGTCATTACATCTATCATTACTTCGAGTATAATATACAATAGTATTCTAACTTTAGTGAGTTGACGTCTATATCATATAATTTTCAATATAAACGGCCAGGTGACTTGAGTAAATAACAAGGACACTGTAAAGTTGTTGTGTCATTACCTGTGGTGAGAATCCGGAGCAATTCCTTAATTGGTACCACCAATATTATGTCGGGTACCTATAGAACTGAGTTGAGGCGATGAAGGATATTATAGTTACAGATACTGCAACTGTATGATCCTAAATTTTGGGCAGCTGTGAATGAACTTCTCACCTTATTTCCTTTTTTTCTTTCAAATATCTGACTCTCGCAATTTCCTCTCTTCTCCTAGTTTATTTTTTATTTTTTGGTTAAAAAACTATTTGTATTACAAACAAGTAAGGAAGGGCTAAGTTCGGATGTAACCGAACATTTTATACTCCCGCAAAGTCAAATGGTATACTCGTTTTAGATTTCTTTGTGGATCTTACCGCCTTATTCTATGTTGACCGATATTTTCGGTAAAAAGTCAACTATAGGCACCGGGGTCCACATATTTAGTACTTAGAGCTTGAACAGTTTTGGTTCAATTTAGATAATTTTTGGTCACAAGGTGACATACTCTAAACATATTATTCACGCAAAGTTTTACGCCGATATAATCATTGTTGCTTGATTTGCATACTGGAAAGTGAAAAAATCAGATGGAATTTAAAATGATGTTATATGGGAAATAGGCGTGGTTGTAATCCGATTTCGCCCATTTTCGTACTATAACATAGAAATATGAGAAGAATATTATTTACTGAATGTGGTTGAAATCGGTTAAGGAGATCCCAAGATATGGGTTTTCACCTAATTTTGAACGTGGTTCCTATAAAAATCATCTTATACCATCCCAGAGATAAAATGTCTCTGGCTTGTTTAGTGCTTGATTTATCGCGCTTTTAGTAGTTTTTAACAGTACCGTTATATGGGGAGAGGGCGGGGTTGTCACCCGATTTCACCCATTTTCACACCGTCGATATAGATGCTAAAAAAATTTGTTCCTAGTGAATTTTGTTATTATAGCTTCAGTGGTACAGGAGATATGCACATTAAACTTATTAGAGAACGGGACCACGCCCACTTAAAAAAAATTTTAACTGCAGATGCCCCTCCATAATGTGACTCTGTATACCAAATAAGAGTCTTGTTGTGTATCTTGTTGTGGAGCTTAGTTATGGCAATTTATTTGTTTTTGATGAATGGCGTTTTGTGGGCGTGGCAGAGGTCCGATTATGCCTATCTGCTTTACCAACCGTCTTACGGTACCAAGAAACATGTGTACCAAGTTTCAAAAAGATATCTCAATTTACAGCTTGCATAGACGGACGGACGGACAGACAATCACCCGGATTTCAACTCGTCTCTTCATCCTGATTATTTATATATGCATAACCCTATATCTAACTCGATTAGTTTTAGATGATACAAACAACTGTTTAGTGAACAAAACTATTACTCTGTAGCAACAAGCGAGAGTATAAAAAAAGACCTATATTGGGCAAAAGTTGGGAGATCAAGAAAAATAGGGTGCGTTCGAGATAACAATCACTACAGCAGCGTTGCAAATTTGTCAAGTATCACGTTGTGCGTGAATTTTTGGCAACACTTGCAACAGCATCACGTTCTACTGTCACTTTTTGCACGCAAATAATCGGCGACACTAAATTTTGTTTGCATATCAGCAGAGTGTCGGCAAATTCATAGTGGAGCTATTAATACTTTCATTGACCTTGGAGTCGAAGCACCACCCACCGCAGGCCGTGAGTTCGAATCAAGGATGACATGATACGATACTCTCTCATTTTTCTCTTATTCTCTTTCCCTGATTATGAAGATTTGGGAATTTTGAACAGATGATATCAAAAAAGGCGGAATGCCAGAAATAAACTCGCTTAAAATAGCTAACGTGCAACTAAAGTTTTCTTTTGCTAATTTAATTAAAAACATTAATCATAAAATCATTATATTTTATTATGACTTATATTGTTTCATTGTTATAGTTTTTTTATTCATATATTATTTTATTATGTTATATGATTTTTTTTTTTAATTTTATAAAATGAATACACGTATTTAAGGATGTATGCGTTATATAGGCTTCTCGGGATTTTGTTTTTTTATATTTTATAAAATGAATACACGTATTTAAGGATGTATGCGTTATATAGGCATCTCGGGAGCCGAGCACCTAAAAATAATATCGAAATGCAAAATACCCAATCCATTTTCTTTCGACAGTGACTTAATTGACAAATGTTATAAAAAATGTGGGTTTTGACATCTCTCTCTCGAATCAAAGAGTTTCGTATCACGTTATACTTGTTCGAGCCACGCAACTTCATTTTTGATAGTATAACAACTCTTACTTATTTATAATAGACCTTCACATACTAAACATATGTTCTGCACACAATGAGTACCCGCTTAAGAACTAATATGATCACAAAAAGCACTAGTACTGAGCAGTTTGTGAGTATAGTACCCAAGGATAATTGCACTTCAAAAATTTCACAATTTTTGATTCAATTAACCCGCTTAATTGAACGGCTTTATGAATTTACAAAAAAATCATATGTGCACTTTAAGTATTTATTTAGTTTTTAGTAGTGATATTTAAATATTTTTAAAATACACTTAAAAACAAAAAAACTTCATAGTATTGTATACTCATATATGCAGCACTTGCATTTACATATTTAAAGAACGTTGCTTACCTTTTTAAACTGTTATTTGAAGAAGTCTGTAATTTTTATGATATATAATGTTTTTTGAATATTGTTCAATCTACGTGAAATAAAATGCAATTCCATTTTCTCCAATTCACACAGAAACTTGTTTTCTGAATCAAAATATGTATTTCAAAACTTCGATAACTGACGATGGCTTTGGAGGATCATCTTCTCTCCTGCTTTTCAACATCAGCACTATTTAACATTTTATATATTCACCAATACACATACGTATGTTTTCAATTTGTGATGTCAAAGATTATTTTTTTAACGAAAGCTTTATAGCATAAACACAATACGAGCGACGGCGAATATTCGTCGTACTCGGCGATCGAACACACGATTGTATAGGAAGATTAACACAATACGCGACGGCGACGAATTTCGCCCACAATGACGATTATTGAGATAGAGTGATTTTTAATTTTATCGCCGACCGCGGCGGCAAAAACGGCATCACCATATCAAAGAAAGATTATTTTCAGTAAAAATATTAAGGATTTTCAAAAAGAATGTCTGCGTTGGCAATATTAAGATTGTTTATGTTTGGTTTCGTCATTTATTGTGATATTTTTGAGCGGTGAATATCCACTAGCTGCGACGAAAATCGTCCGTATTGTGTTTTACACGGCGGCAACACTCGGCGAAAATCCGTACGACGGCATCGCGTATTGTGTTTATGCTATTATGTGCAATTAACCGGGGAAAATTAAAGGTATATGTTTTTAATAACACATATTTTTAACCAATTATGCAGGGAAACCAATTTTCCGGGTTCAATAAAATGAGAAAATTTACACGTATTTTGTATGCAATATATTTTTTACCGATCTGGTGAAACTAATAAGCCGAAAAATTAATTCACCGAGGGATACTGTACAAAAATGATTACAATAAGCACTAGTACTAAGCAGTTTATCACTTCTAAAATAATCACAATAAATACTATTGTAGTACTAAGCAGTTTATGAGTGCTTCAGCGTCGTCTTCTGTCGCGTCATTGTATAGGCATGACGGCTCTTCGACTTTTCCCATTCTGTGGAGATACTTTTTGAAGCATGCGTGACCTGATAGCAGCTGTGGTATGAAGAAGTCCACTTCTCCGAATTTACGACTTGTCTATAAGTTTAGGTCTATTATAAGTCTGGCCGTTCATCCGCCACGACTCTCATGCTCCTGTATCCTCTAAAGAGCTTTTCTTAAAATTCTTGTATGCTGTCGCTTGGTGTCAAGTAGCAGCTAATTACTGGGAAAAGGTTGCATTTGGTCCATTTGAAACCGTTGTGATTCCCTTTGCCTATAGTAATGATGTTACTTCATGGTGGTAGCAAGGTAGCAATTTAGTGACGGTTGAGCTGCTATCTTCTAACCAGGTTCCGCTCTCCTTATTTTTATATTGTTTGCTTATGATTAAATCGTCGCCATTCTCCATCACTATTTGCGAGAGTAGTGCGTCAGCAGCCTTGAATCTATGCATATTGGCCTTTAGAAAATTAATTTATTTTGATAGTACCTATATACCATATATTTTGCGGAGCCCGGGATAAGGTCGACTTTTTTGTGTTTGGCCTCTTCGCAGAGGCAGCATGAGGGGGGTTTTGTACACATTGTGACCTAGTTGGTCGCATTTTATGCAGGTACCATGCCCTCTCCTTTCGAGCCCTTTGTAATCCCAAGTTAAGTGCTTTGCTCAAAGCAGTGGGAACACCTTTGGCGTTTTCTTTAAGTCGCAACCTGCAGTTAACCCAGTCAGCTTTTATACGTGCCTGTTGCATCCGTGCGTCAGCTTTATCCTGATGAAGCGTTATATACGCCCTTACCTGCTCTCTTATGTTAGATGTCGTTATGTTTATCAAATCTGGTCCTGTAACGCTCCTTTTACAGCCTCTGCGACTTCCTCTTTTGTTGTAAGTGAATCAAGGTCTCTAATCTCTATAGTAGCCTTTGCTTTAAGGTCTGCCACAGTCGCGGATTTTTGAAGGATGGTCTTGACTTCCTCACAGAAGTTGGCTTTTGTACTCTGTCCGTTCTCTAGCTCTAATATTAGCGCCAAATATTACGTCAGTTCGTCTGGCTGTGTTGCTCCGTTCTTAACGTCCATGCTGACATTCTTCTGTTTGGCCATCGCCATCTTCATTATTTGCACTATACCCTTGCACTTTTCTAGGGATTCTTCTTTTCCTGTCTCATTTAGATTATATACTCTTGTTTCGGTGAGTTTTAAGTGGACCGAGATTCTTCTGTGATGACAGCTGGGCTGCTCTACCCTTCTCCTTGTTTTGCAAATCCTGTTTATGTAGCCGGTGTTTCCCTTGAGACAGTCTTTTCTCCAGTTTTGTCCGGTTGTTTTGAAGTGGTAGAAGACGGTCCCGTATTTCTCGTATTGCCCACCTTGTGTTTTTCATGTTGTTCTTTCTGTTGGGATTTTTGTTGTTGTTACGGTGTGTTCATTTTGTTGCCGCTATCTCCGCACGTTGTAACAGTTGCCCTATATGAACCCCGTGGATATCTTTGCAAGCAGGGAGGTTGTGAGAGCCAGGTTCGGGCCGATACAAAAATTGGACAATGGGAGTGGCTCCGCCCACCTTTAAGTGAAAATCCATACCTCGGGATCTACTTGACCGATTTCAACCAAATTTGATAAGTAACATTATCCTATGCTACAGTGCAAAAATGGGCGACATTTTGTGATTTTTTAACTTTCCGGTGTACATATCGAGCACTAATGAATATATTGAAATGAAACTTTGCACGATTAGTGCCTTCAAGATATGCCATCTCAAATCTAAAAATTGTCAAAATCTGGGCATAACTGCTCAAGCCCCCATATACCGAAAATGTGGCCCCAGTATTCATGGTTGACTTTTTACCGAAAGTATCGTTCAATGTGTGAGACATATGATTGGAATTCGGAGAGAATTCTTTCCTAGTAATATTATGTCTGCATGTCAAAATTGGATAGAATCGGGTCAATACTTCTCTTGGCTCTCACACAACTAATAGAAATATTTTCGAACTTCCGGCTGACTTTATGCCGCATATGTCGGTCAATTTTTGAGTTATCGTAATAATAATTGTGGGGACGAAATGGATAAAATCGGGTGAAAACTTGCCTTAGCCCCCATATAACTAATATCAGAACTTTCAAACATCCGGTTGACTTTACTCCATATATTATATATTGGGTGATAATATGTGAGGTACCTTAATGAAACTCAGGGAGCATTTTATTCTGTTAACAGTATGTTGTATTGCCCAAAATAGATAAACCCTATCTCCCATATACCTAACGTAATTTTGGATATACTATAGTTTAATGCCGAAAATATGTGAATAACGGGCCTTACGACGAATATGTCGTTCAGTGTGTGAGTATAACTCACCAATGTCAAAATTAATGCAATCAGTCATCCCTTTATCAGCTCCCAATATAGCCTATATGAAAATTTCCAACCTTCCACCTGAAAAAATTAAAAGAACAAGTTTTCTTAAAAATTGTGGTTTACCGCTTAATATGAATGAAATTGGTTAAACCTTATATGCCTAATGTAATGAATTGCGATCCTCTGGTCGACGTTATCACGTAAATTCAAAATCTTAAATTTTAGCTTCTTTAGTTGAGTTCATAGCGCATAGTTCTCATTTAAGGATGATTTTGATATAACTTTCGTTGACACGATTAATATATTAATAAAACTAAGTGAGTATGTTACATGACCTTCAATATAAGTTAAAAAGATACCAAAATTGATTGTACTCCATCCACGATTTCGTTAAACAGTGAATGTTGAATTTTTTCCCAACAGTTTTTAATATGAAATTTTGCCAATAACTGAATGTATTTCCCCGGCTTTGATCTTTGCAAGTAGCAAAAGTATAAAATGTTCGGTTGCACCCGAACTTAGTCCTTCCTAACTTTATTTTTATTTTTTTTATTATATTGTAACATTGCCTTTTCTAAGTATTTGTACAGAATAACTGATTAAAATTGTTTAAAATTATTTTAAATTTTATTAAATTTAGTTTATTAACCTCTTTTCCTTTTTTATGAATATATTTTCGAAATAAAATATATTAATGTTTGGTTGCAGCTTGATATCCTAGCCAAAGGCACTGGCACAGTGTTGAAAGCATTAATATCACTAAAAAATTTAAATTTGACAATACTCCAACCGAAATCTTCTTGACGGATTGCACATTGTACAATAACAAAATGTCTAATGGAATATCGCAGCTCTCACAACAGCGATATCTCTTGAACAGAAGATACTTCTCGTTTTATAAGCATCCGTTAATGATTTAAATGCTGAAAGCTTGCAACGGCTAGAGGAGCTGTTGTTGTTGTAGCGGCAGAATTCTGCAGAGTTGACTCCTTGGCCGGATAAAATCCGGGTTCGTTCCGGTTACGTAGACCCGATTGTCGTGCGAATCGGAGAACGAAAAAGCAAAAGTAGTTTCTCCTTATACACAGGAACCACCACAACCAATTTAAGATATTTTGAGAGGCAAATATTGTATATTTATAAAACATTGTTTCGTTGATCATTTGATTAGTAGTATCCTTCCATTGTAGTGCAAAGTGTACTGCGTACAAATTCTTCATATCTATTTTGTGTCTGATGGTAATAAACTTCAATTTCAATATAATATTGTTACAAAATTATTACTCCACAAAATGTATATTCGTATAGAATAATGAAAATTTATTTTCGAAATTAAAAATTTTAAGTCGAAAATAAATAAAATAAAAGTATTTAGCAGTCCCTTAAGTTGACGCAGTCAAAGGATCTAGAAATTCAGTTTCATTGCAAATTCGGTCAGCTATAAAGAATCTCCATTATATTGTTATTGCGACCCGTCGCTTTAGCCTTTCTCTAAAGAAGGAAGATAGTTCAAGTGTGTTGTTTTTTCTCCCAAGTTCAGCTTTATGTAGGATTATCTACTTTATATATTTGGCATATTCTTCAAATTTATTTCAAGAATGTTTTCTGCCGCTGCAACAAGTATTTCGTGTGACTTTTCTATAATTGAACGAACGTTATATAGGCATAGAATTAAGAAAACAATTGAATAACATCCCGAGTATAAAAGATAATTATATATATGCAGATGTATTAGTTATAAAATGACACTGTCCCTTATTATACCTTTATAAATTAAATATACAAATATTTTAAGTCCATATAAAGTTTCAGCAAAATCACTTGATCTGACTTTCATCCTCACTCTCTGATGACGAGTTGCCATCTCCTAATTCCAGTATTTTTTTGAAATCTTTCACTTTAATTTTGGCTGGAACAATTTGCAACAAGAATTCTAAATTCTTCTCTTTTTGTACATATTGTGATAAATGTTTATATTTAAGTGTGTTATCATCCTTCACTCTATCATAAGCTTCCTCTGTTAGTTTTTGTATGAACATTTCCTAAATACAAAAGAAAATTAAACACTTAACCATAAATGGCATATACGATAACTTACTGTAGATTTAGTCATAAGGAAAAGTACTTCGTTTGTTATTTGCCCAGTATTCAAGGAACTCTTCATAATTGTCCTAATGCGGCTTAATGGGAGTTCGCTATCCATGTTTAATACTATATTTAAACACTAAAAGATATAATGATGAATATCATAAGACCGTTGCCGCTAATATAATAATATATTCACACAGTGTAGCCAGATTCAGCAAATTACTAATACTACGATTACATGGGACTCTTTTGTCGCTAAATATTCTTTTGGTGTCGCTCTGTGCGTTCACACGAGCAAAAAGTGTCCAGCAACGAATAGAGTTTTTCTGTCATTCCTTTTCATTAAATTTTCGCAAATGCTTGTGCGGTTCGGCCTTGGTTCGGCTACGCGACACTTAGAATCAGAGATAAAATGATCCGAAACTCCTCTCTTTGCCTTCTGAGAGAGCTTATGAACTTTCAGTGCTGCAAAAAACAACCACGAGTTCATGAGCTACTAAACAGATGACAAGCAAAACAAGAAACAAGAAAAGAACTACCACTAAGAATCCCGCAAAAATAAATTGCGAAATCAGTGGGTAATTTGTGAGATCTGATTTTTTGTTGACTTTTACGTATATTTGTAATCTTTATTTAAAGAGATTTAATATAGTTTTGTTTTTAAGAAGGAGCGGTATTTTGTCGCAGAGTATTGTTTTGCTTAGCAGTACCAATTGCCAACGTATATACTTATTTTGGTTAGAATTTCCAGCAAATGTTATGTAAACTTTGACTTCCGAATAAATGATCAAAAGATATTTGTTTATTGAGTATATAAAAAGGAAATAAGGCTCATGTTTAGGTTATTTAAAACTTGTGTGTTTTGAAATATTTAAATATATTGTTAAATTTAGTCTTAAACGTTAATTTTGAAAATCTTTTGTGATTAAAATATGCATGTACTTATATTTAGAAGTCATATAGGATATCTAGCTTGTTAAACTAATTTTATTTATGTATATTTTTCTATAAAATGGAAACCGAAAAATACCCAAGAAATACATTTAAAAATCTCAAAACTTATTTCTTTCTTAAATGGCACCACTGTCAAATGTTATAAAAAATGTAGACTTTTACAGCGCTCTCTGAAATCAAAGAGTTTCGGATCATTTTATCCATGCTTAGAACGTGTTGCATATTTCATTTGTATGTTAGGGTGGTGGTTGTTGTTGTTGTAACGGTTATCTAGTTCCCCCTTGGGTGGTAAGTTTCAGTTTGGTTGTCGTCGAGATCATCTGACGGGATGCCCAGGAAACGAATTGTTTCGACCTCAAAGAGGTGGTTAGTGTCATGCGGAGACTCGTTAGGAATAATTTTTCCGGCCGATTGCCTTGTAAGTTGCCAACAGCGATTCTTTGTCTTTTCCCCAAGAGCTGTCGACAAGCAATTTGAGGGTTTTGTTGCGACTCTGTACTTTGACAGTTATCGCGGTCGTGTGAGGACTGAAATGTTTAGATCCAGTCTGTACTCCTTCGTCCAGTTTGTAAAAATAGTCGCTGTGGTTTTAGTGGGGAAGAGTGTTAAGCTCCTTGCAGAGAACAAGCGAGAAAGGTCGGAGAGATAGCCGTTTACTTTTGAGCACATGCCATCGATTCTATTGCCCGACGTCAATATCGTGCAGTCATCAACGTACGAGGTCATGGAAATTCCCTCTGGTGATTGAGGGAGTATCGAGATGTAAAAATTAAACAGTAGCGGGGAGAGGACACCGCCCTACGGAACCCCCTGTTTAATTCTTCTAAATTTGGAGTTTTGACCTCGAAACAGTACGGATGAATGCCGACCGCTCAGGTAGCTCATAGTCCACCGCTTCAGCCCTGGAGGGAGCGTTGATTGTTCTATGTCCTCAAGTAGAGTTGTGTGGTTGACTGTGTTAAAAGCTTTTGACAAGTCCAACGCTATGAGGATCGTCCTTGGTGAGATAACTTACTCCCGTCGAGCCTAGGTCTTTTAGCATTAGCATGCTTATTCCGTCAGGGCCAATTGATTTGAACGATTTAGCCTTGTTGATGGCACTCTGAACCTCCCCATCAGTGAAAGTAAGGGGTGCGCGGTCTTTTGGCATTTTGCGCAGCCGTCGGGTAATACATCATTTGATCTTGTCTACCGAAGGATGCAGTGTAAATTGCCGACTAAAATAGCTCGCGCACTTTTTCGGGTCCGAGGAGGCATGGCCATCACATTGAATTTCAACTCGGTCTTCATGTCTCCTTGGATTAGACAAGGCCTTGAAATGTGATCTAATATAATAGGTTAGGTTAGGAGGTCGATCCCAAGAAGGATCCCACTTGGACAGCTTAAGACGCCGGTCCGTTGTGATACCTACAAAGCTCCTATAATCTGGATAAAAAGACCCTTACAAGTCGACAAAACGCTTTGTGAACATAACAAACTTGTTAAGTCGGCCAATATAGTCTCAACGAAAGCCGGACAAGGAGGAGAAAGTGCCGGGATGTTTCCACCTCACCCTCCTCCATACTACTTTGGCAACTAGCATCGGGTATTACTCTAAGCCGTACCACATGAGTGCCTATTGGACAGTGTCCAGTGAGAACTCCTACCATAGCGGCGAGATGCACTTTGCTCAGGGCGAGAAGCTCCCCCGACCTCCTGCGCTCCACTCTTGGCTAGAGGGATCTCGCGGTCGCACAGGAGTTGGTCGTCGACCAGCGTCTGGAGATCCAACTCGATCCCATTCCGATGTGAGCGGAGCAAGGGTGCTCCCCTGGCTAGCTCATCGGCTTTGCAGTTACCAGCGATTCCGCTGTGACCAGGCACCCAAACGAGCCTGATGTTGAAATAGCCAGATGCTATTTCTAGTGAGGACAGACACTCCTTGATTAGCTTTGATTGCACGGTTCGCGCGCTCAAAGCTAGTATTGCCGCCCAACTATCGGAGTAGATGCTCATTTCTACAAACGAGGCTGTACTACGCAGCAGTACTTCTACCGCCACCTTGATAGCAGCCACTTCCGCCTGAAACACACTACAGTGGTCCGGTAGCCTGAAGCTAAAATTGACGGAGAGCTCCTTGCAGAAAACCTCCCCTTCAACCCTCCCTTCTAGCCTTGATCCATCCGTGAAAAAGCTCACCGCGCCTCTTCTCCAGCGGCTTCTTCCCATCCACATGTCCCTCGTTGGAATATGAGCGGAGAAGGAGCCGCCTCGAGTGGCCTCAGTGACGCAGTGATCTAAATTTTCTCGAATGCAGCTGAAGGCGGAAAGAATTTCAGAGTGTCCTTGTTCGGACCTCTTCATAAGCCCAGCTTCCCTGAGCCTTAGAGCACACTTCGCAGCAATGCACTTACTGGCAATGTCCACAGGTGCTATGTTCAAAATAGCATTAAGAGCTATTGTAGGTGTGGTCCGCAGTGCACAGTGTGGACCTTTCGAGCGCCCTCCACCAGACGAACACACCATAGAACATTATTGGTTTAACTACGGTTTCGTAGAGCCAGAACACCACCTTAGGTGAGAGTCTCTACGTTTTCCCTATAGCCCCTTTGCAGCAGTATAAGGCGATCGATGCCTTCTTAACTCTCTCCTAAATGTTTGGCCTCCAGGAAAGTTTTCTATCGAGGATAAGCCGTAGTATTTCAACAGGTTGAAGAAGTGAACCCCCGAAGGAGGGGAGAGGTACATTTGGGATCTTATACCTCCTACCATTTCGGTTTTACTTGGGTTGACGGCTAGGCCGCTTCTATTTGCCCAGTTAGATACCACGTTCAGGTACCCCTCAGTGAGCTCGTAGACGGTATTCAGGAATTTTCCCTTAACCATAAGAACCACATCATCAGCATAGGCTCTCACCCGACAGCCTTGCGCCTCGAGTTCTGTAAGCAGGTCGTTTACCACCAATATCCAGAGCAGAGGGTAGAGTACTCCCCCCTGCGAAGTTCCCCTATTCACTTTTCTGGTTGTCAAAGAAGACTCAAAATAAGGTGCTTGGGGTTCGATTCTACCTCAAACTTTTTGAGGGCTTTAACCACTGTCTCTGGTCGCACGTTATTGAAGGCCCCCTCGATGTCGAGAAAGGTGCCCATCGCAAATTCCTTGTGCTTGAGAGCTATCTCCAGCCATGATACTACATCATGTAAAGCAGTGTCGACCTACCTGCCTTTGATATCGGCATGCTGCGCCCGTAACAGTTTACCCCTCGGTATTCTGATCCTAATTTACAGATACATAAGGCTCTCCAATATTTTCAACAGAAACGAGGACAGGCTGATGGGTCTGAAATCTTTTGCACCGACGTGAGAGATTTTCCCGGCCTTCGGAATAAAAGTAACCTTAACCTGTCTCCAGACCTTCGGGACATGGCCCAGTCTAACACAGTTCGCGTAGATGGGGGCCAGCCAGCTGCATGACATCGTAACCGTGCGTTGTACTTGCCAGGAAGGCTGTACAGCTCTCCTGCAGCTCACCCAGTGGCAATTCTTCAGCAGAATGATTTAGTGGGAAATGAGCATCCAGGAGTAACTTCAACGACTCCTCGCTGCTCGTTGTTCAACTGCTATCTGCATTTTTTAGGTACCCCACTGGAGTAGGATTTTTTGCAAGAATGCGCCTGAACCGTGAGGACTCATGGCAGCCCTCTACACTACCGCAGAAGGCTCTCCACGAAGCGCTCTTGGCTTTCTTCAACTCGGACTTGTAAATGGCCAGTCCGGCCTTGTACAACGCCCAGTCGTCACTAGAGCCACTTTTACGGGCTTTGTTGAAAAGTCTTCTGCTCGAAGATCTGATCTCCGTTAGCTCCGAAGTCCACCAAGGGGGTTTCCTTTTGGTTTTCTGAGTTCTCAGAGGACAGGAGCTGTCAAGAGTAGTTCTACTAACAGAGCTGAAAACCTCGACGAGCTCATCGACTGCATCCGCAGTAAGGATCGAATCCCTATTGAGTGCGGTTGGAAGAGCTGATCGAAGCTTCCTGCAGTACAGGACCCAGTTGGTATTCCTGAAATTTCTATAGGTTTTGAGCTCCTGAAGCTGAGGCTTTCAAGCTGAAACCAATATATTTATGATCGGAGAAGGAGTGGTCGTCTAGAACCCTCCATTCCGAAATCAAGGGTGCAATTTCCCTAGAGGCTAGCGTAACGTCAAGAACTTCCGTCCTGCAGTCACAAAGGTAGGGCGGTTTCCCTTATTACACATAGAAAGGTCAACACTAAAAATAAAATCAAAAAGTGACTCACCTCTTGCGTTGATGTCCAAGCTCCCCCAGACGGTGTGCCTTGAATTTGCGTCCGAGCCTATTAAGACTGCGGCTCCTTTGCGCTTGGCCTCTGCCAGAGCCCTTCTTAGCAGGTACGGAGGTGACTCCACCTCGTCGTCGTGCGGCATGTAGGCTGAGACAAGCCAGAGTTCTCCAGCACTGTCCTCCAGTCTACCAGTGATGACATCTTCGTTGCTGAAATTAGGCAAAAGAAAAACGTTAAGTTCGTTTCTGATCAACAAGCAGGCTCTGGTTCTACCTATGCTGTTTGCCGCCAGGAGCTTGTGGCTTTTTGTCCTTAAACCAGAGATACCGTTGCTGCTCAGCCACGGTTCCTGGATAAGGACGTCCTAGACGAAGCAATATGTGGGCGGACTCCGCCTTTGACTGCTGAAGGTTAATTTGCACCATCATCCGTGCTATCGACTCCAACCTCCTCGAACATGCGCTCGAGACTGAAGACGGATCCATCGAGAGGATGGGGTCGATGTCCATTTTTGAGTAGGTCGCTCTCCCACTCTCTTCCACTTCAGCTGGAGGCAGCGGGCCATCAGCCCTGGCTTCAGTTGGGAGAATCCTAAATACGACCCTCTCGAAGCCATAGCTTATGGTCGGGGTAGAGGGTTCGGCCGGAAGCCAGACACGAGCATGAGGTCGCATCGGAAGATCCATTTGGCCACCGCCTCGAGCCTTGCTAACTTCCAAACTTCCCCCACCCTGGTACCGCCTCTTTATAAAGGAAAGCGAACCGTTCGTCTGCACACCATATGAGTGTGTGTAGGCCGAGGTTCCACCCGGCACTTTCACATCTTGGGGGTGGTCCAGGGCTTCCCCTGACCACCTTCATAAACACAGCGGAGATAGCAGCCGCTACCCGCTTCCACTCATCATGGTAGATGGTTCCATCTCCCCTGCTGCTGTACGATAGCATATATACATATATACCACTCATAAATGATCAGCGTGACGAGCTGAATCTATTTAGCCATATCCGTCTGTCCGTCTAAGTTAATTTTTGTGAAGATATATCCAAATAAAAAAGTTTTTCTTACAAAGGCTTGGTTTTGATCGATCAATTATATGGCAGCTATACCTCAAAGTGGTACAATATCGGTGGTTCAGACAAATGAATTGCTTATCTGAACAAGTATTCAGATCGGATGTTTATATCGGTTCACTGCAGCATATAGCTGTCATCCAAACTAACCGATTAAAATCAAGATAAAAATCCTGTTATATAGCCTCTGTAAATTTTTCCTGTTTTAATATCTGGGCGACCAAAGGTTTATTACACATACATATATATTTGGTTTGTACATTGTAATTTTCGAAAATATTCATGAATTAAATAATAATAAAAAACAGATGGTAATGTGTTGAATCTCAAAGCTGTTATTTAAGTGATGTTATCAAAACTGGTTTGGAGTTGGAAGGTTCATTTCTCTTAAAAATTATTTTATATATATTTTATAGTATTCTATATCACTCATAACTGAATCTTGGCGTCGTGTTATAATTCTGTTAACTACTTCATGGTTTAACTTTTATTGATATTTCCCATTTAAAATTAAAAAATTTATATTAAGCTGTTTATAATATTAGGTTTATATATTTCAAATGTGTGAAATATCAATTCGCCAATGTATTTTCCAGAGATAAAGTATTTTCGCTACTTTTAATATTTACCGAAGAGGCATTTAAAATACAACCCTGAGCAATTCTCTTTGTTCTTTTCAACTGCTTCGCAGACTAGAATTTGTGTAAAAAGCGTTCGTTTGAGTGATATTAGTGAATTTCGCAGTAAGAATTTTTACGAAATTAGTGTATATTTGGATAAAAAGGTATTTTTAAGTGTTACGAATTGCAAAATTCATAGTGAGTGTTATTATTTAGTTCCTATTAAGATAAACTTATAATTACTGAAAAAGTGAAGTTTAACCAAATACTGATATCTTTCCATATTCTCGCTTGATTGGGAAATGAATAAGTAACAGATGGGAAATCAAATAGTAAATGAGCGCAGGAGTTGATTATATATGTTTATTTGTATGATGTTGGAAGAAAAACGTGCGGCAGAGTGGAGTTTGACAACCTGAAATTGTTGTGTCTTGTAGACGTTAGATGCCATGTGGGGTTCTTAAAATAATGTGGCTTCCTTTTAAATCTGATTAAATATAGAAGAGCGTATACACCATTGCAGAAGAATATTGTTAAAATTTACAAAAGATAAATACATACTATACCCAGTATAAAATACTAATAAAATATATAAAGCTAGTATTAAATACTAATAAAATATATAAAGCTAGTAAATGTTTAAACATACATGATTTAATGAGAATGTTCTCGATTTGTTTTCTTTATAGTTTCATCGTATATAAGTTTATCTTTGGTGTGGTACACAATCAACAAACGTATACTTATATATAAATTGTGTGTTAGCTGTATGCTACCAGAATTAAATTCATTCTGCTGTTCTGTTCCAAAGTAAGGAGGTAAATCAGTTTTCTTTAAAGGCAATAAACATTTATGTGCATCCATTGAAAGGTGCACTATTAAAAACTTTAGTTAAGAGTGCAAAAATTAACTCGCTCATAGTGTTGAGGACGCCTGCTGCTCAATGTCTTCTAGTTCACCAACAGCTGACCAAAACTCTTCCGAAGAGGCACCAGCAGCTAAAAAGCGAAAGCTGCTTGCGTCTACCGGCGCTACTTCAAGCCTCAGTAAAAACAATAAAAACAACTCGGACAACGGTGAGGATAACGAAAATCACGAATGTTGTGTGAAAGAAACTGACGTTGACGTACCATTGGTAAAAGCCGGTGAATCGGCACAAAAGGCGAATGTAATCGTGCCATCTCATTCGGTTTCGTTAAGTAGTGGTAATATCGTTGGCTCTGTCGGTTCTACTAGCACGGGTGAGAAAAGTAGTAGTGGGAGCGACAGTACCTTGTCGTCAGTGAAGAAAGAAAGCGGTCAAAGTGATCAAAGCGGAGTTTCTGTTTCGTGTGAAAGTGTAGTGGCAGATGAAAAAACTGAATCGAAGAATTTAGTGGAAGTGGAAGAAAAAAATTCTCAAGTGAACAATTTTGCAACGACTTCAACGTTAATTTGCGATAGAAACAACAAAGTTAATAACTCAAACGGTAATAAAACGAATTCACAGGTAGTGAACGCAGCAAACAACCAAATGGCTGGTGGTAATCCTACGAACGACTCACGTTCGCGCGGTGCTTCTGACATCGATGAATCGCTATACTCGCGCCAACTCTATGTGCTGGGTCATGATGCAATGCGTCGAATGGCCAATTCAGACATTTTGCTGTCGGGTATTGGCGGTTTAGGTCTTGAGATAGCAAAGAATGTAATTTTAGGAGGAGTGAAATCGATCACTCTTCACGATAAGGAAAATTGTACAGTGAGTATTAAATATTGATGCATTCAGTTATTTATTATAAAAAATTACTTTTAACATATAAAAACGTGCTCTCTCTAGCGTATTAGTTGCTGGATTAGCGGAAGTATTTATAATACTATGTGTCCTGAACGAGATGAAAAATCAATAAAAGTTTTTCCCCTGTTATCTGAATCAATATAATTTTTTTTCTGGCATATATTAGTTTTGCCGCCGTTTTTGTTCTATGATATATACGTGATTTTTTAGTCAGATTTGTATGAGTACATATGTATATTGATTATTTTCAGTATTTTGCTGTCAGTACTATCTCCAAATCCGGTACGAAATTAATTCGATAAATTCTTGCGATTTTAACTTTCCTATGTGATAATTAAACATTTTATACTCATTATAATAAAATTCTTCGCCGAACGAAGGAAAATGTTATTTATATTTGCATATATGCATATGCATACATATATACGTTAAATATTCAGTATGTGCCATTATGAGCGGTGGACATATTTCTTACGTTTTCTACATTTAACATTACTCTTATTAACTCTTAAAAACATTGTAGGGGTGTATAATATTCACCTAAAGTTAATTTATTTCAACATAAAATGCACAGAAAATTTACTAAATAAAGATGTTTGATACGTAAGATGATTCATAGTTACCAACGTCTATGTTTAAAGCATTAGAACGAAACAGGCATATTATATTATATAAAGATTCAGGCGGTTTGTAATGAGTAAAACAAGTTCAGATGCGTTTGTGGTACGAATAGTATATATGTAAATTGCGTACATGTTTCATGGGATATTGGTGTAGTGCGCCGCGTTGTTCTGGAGAGTTTCACAGTTTCATTTGTGTGAATTTCTTATTTTTCTTTGTTTCACAAGTTTACTTTATATTTCTAATTTGAGATTTTTTAATGGCATTTTCAAACTGCAAAAACTAACACTCCGTATATTATATTTTAGACAGAGCAAATAAAAAAGTAAATGTTATTTATTTGTTAAAAGACATTGGAATTTTATATTGTATATTAACTCACATAAGTATTTTGCTTAAGTTAAGAATTAAATAAACCTTGTTGTTTTTGTACTCCATTAAATTTATTTGTTAATTCTTAAGTTAACATAATAAATTTTTTTTTTGGTAAATGTATAGTTTTGGTAAATATAGTTGTCGTCAATGCAAAAAGAAGTTCTGCGCAGAAAAACCTTGGTACACCCCGGATTTTTTTGAAGCGCGGCCGAAGGTCGCCAACGCTAACAGAAGTTCTAAAAGAATAAGTAACATTGTCATAGAGGGTATAACATAATCAGTAACATCAATGCTCTCTAATAGTTTATTTTTCTAGGTTTTGGATTCGTGTATTTGGGTTACTATCTTTCATTTCTTTCAGTTCATTTACAAAAGGTGTGAATAAGTTAACACTGGTTATTTGACTTTTGCAACCCTTTTGTAATTGTCAGAATTAATAGAATTTAACAATAATTTAAATATTGAATTAAACTATTTTTGTACTATATATTGTAAAATAAATGTGTAAAAACGAGACGATATAAAAGAAATTTCTAAAAACGAATTAGTAAAGTGTTAGTGGATATAGAAGTGAAAATATAATTGTATAATTTATTTTAAATCGAAAAAATACGTACTTAAAATAGTTGAAATTTAAAATCTGAAGGATCTCCTCTATCAGCAAATACCCATTTTGTGTCGGCTTTACCATCCCACGATTTCAGGGTTAAGAGGGGTATGGTTAGATAGAGAAGATTCTCCAGATCATATATATAGATATTTACGTTTAAAGTTGAAAACTTCAACTATTTAAAGTATGTATTTTTTCGATTTAAAATAAATTATACACTTTTCAATTTTACACTAATTCACTTCACTAATTCGTTATTAGAAATTTCTTTTGTATCGTCTCGTTTTTACACATTTATTTTACATTATATAGTGCAAAAATAGTTTAATTCAATATTTAAATTATTGTTAAATTCTATTAATTCTGTCAATAACAGAAGTGTTGCAAAATGTTAAATAACCAGTGTTCGTCGATCTCCGATATTCATGCCATCAGATCGCGGGGCAAAATAATTGTGTCTGTTACATTTCTTCAGTATTTTTTTTTTCACAAGAAAATGTTTAACTCGATGAACAGGTAATTACAGCTAAGTGATCTGAATTTTGCCGCCACAACAATAACAACAACAACTAAATGACTTGAAAAATTGTGCAAAATGCGTTTAATATATTTGTAAATATATATATATATAAAATTATTGAAAAAATTCACTTTCCGCTCACGCATTTGTAATCTTCGCGTAAAAATATGCCTCCTTAGTTGGGAGACCTAACTATACATTTACCATTGTTTTTTTTTTTTTTTTATTGATTTTTTTTACAAAAAATTTTTAAAATAAAAATCCTTAAATCGTTTGAGCATACATATGTACAGCTGTGTTCATGGAAATGTAATGCTGGTTGGTTATAAAACAAAAAAATTGGCTGGGATTTTGAATATAGATAGGATAGAGGAGGTTCTCCAGATTAAGAAAATATGTACATTTAGTTTCCGCTGACATATGATTTTTGAGATATTTCCATTAAAACTTCAAAAATTCAACTATTTAAAGTGCATGTTTCTTTGATTTATAGTGAATTTTACACTTATATATTTAAGTTAAAAATACAAACTTTGAATTGAATACATTTAAAAAATATTTTTTTTTAGCTATTTCTACGTACAAGGTGCGTTCCAAAGTAAATAGGACTTAAAAACAAAGACAACAAATGGTTTTATCGGCAAAATCAATTAATTTTATTCAAAATAGTCTCCTGCTTTAATACAGCTTTTTGCACGGTCCAAAAGCATGTCGAACAAGCTCGTTGCCCGGTATGCCGGTGCAAGAGTTTTGACAGGCCTCCACGTCTGCATAACGCTTTGCTTAACGTTTTGGCCGGGTGGAACAAATTCTTTGTGGACAATACCTTGGAATCATAAAAACAAATCAGCATTGTCTTCACTTTTGACTTCTCCAGGCGCGATTTGTTGGGTTTCGGTTCATTTCTCATTTATGTCCTCACGACCACTTTGAAAACGTTGAAACCACTTGTGCACTCTGCTACGGGATAGGCAATCATCGCCATAAACTTGTTTCCTCAATTGAAACGTTTCGGTAAAAGTTTTACCAATTTTAAAACAAAATTTAATGTTGGCTCTTTGTTCGAAGCTCATTCAAATACTAAATGTTATTGATCAATAAATATTTAGTTGTTAACCTTATATTTTTTTAGTAAATCCTTACACTGACGTTGCATAGAGTCTATTAGATCCTTACAATGCTTCATATGGATTTGAGCACATGCCTCCTTGACCACTGGCCAAAGTTGTGTTCTTAATGGATTTGCTGTTGCTATAACTCGTATAATATCTCCCCATACATTTTCGATTGGGGTTAGGTCCAGTGCTTCCTCTGGCCAGGATATTAAGTCGATGCTGTCTGACCACTCCTCAGCTAGTTTGGTCGTTTGTTTTGGGGCGTTATCCTGCTCATACGTCTTCCTCCAGCTGAAAAATGGTTGTTGTTGTTGTAGCGGCAGAATTCTACCGAGTTGACAGTCCTTGGCCGGAATAAATCCGGGTCCGTTCCGTTTAAGTAGACCCGACTGTCGTGGGAACGGTGAAAAATGGTAATATGATATCCTTCAGTAGGTTTATACACGCAGTTACATCCATAAGCTAGACTGCACATCAATCTGCTGACACAAGATCAAGACCCTTGGGTCCATGTTGCCGAATAGGGATCACAGCGCCTCATTAGCACCTAGCAGAATACTGCAATTCATCACTGCGGCGAGGTGAGTCGTTGTGACTTAGGGAGGGCACAATCAATTCCCATAACAGTCGGTTCTGCGATACCGGAATTGACCCGGATTTTATCCGGCCAAGGGCTGTTATTTTGACGATCTAACCCTGTTTGGATCGGTAAGTTCTAGGTTAAGTTTGTCGTCATTGGATCAACGCCTAGCAGCAGGGTTGCTCCGTATCCTCCTGACCCGTTCTGGCATCGAGTCCAACCCGGGCCCCGAGAAATTCTACTGCTGTGTTTGCGCTAAGAGACTCCATCCAAACTCCACCTCGGTTAGGTGCAATACATGCAATGGATGGAGCCATCTTAAGACCTGTTCAGGCCTTAAGACACATAGGGAGTGGACCACGAGTTACGTGGCCCCATGCTGTCAACGCAATACTGCGACATCTGCCTCAACGGCTGTGTAACCTGCACCATGTTCGCGCACTGCGCCACCACTCCAGTCGAGTGGCCAAGAAAGGACCTCCACGGCCCTAAGGAGCTCACACAGACAGCATTACTCCCAGTCTGAGCAACCTCCCCCCCTCAACCTTCATCCAGCTCCAATCCTCGTGCGAGAACCACCCAGCAACTCCTGGTTCCTCGCACAGTCTGTTCCGTGTGTCAGACCGTAATACGCCGGAATGTCACATCAGTCAAGTGCAATTCTTGCACTGGCTGGTGTCACTTTCTGTCGTGTTCCGGTCTGCGCACCACACGAGAGTGGAGTGCGTCGTGTGTTGCTCCATGCTGTAGGAGGTCGCACCCGCAATCACATACAGTGGCGTCGCCGATCAACACCACAGTGCGACAACCGCCCATGCGGATAGTACAGCTGCAACAACCACCACCTACACGCACCCCACTCACCCCTAGGATCACGACCGGACACCCGCGACAAACGCGACTCCTACAATTCAACTGCAACGGACTCCAGAGCAAGATCGAAGAGATAGTTGCATTCATGAGCCGGGAGCGCGTAACGATAGCTGCGGTCCAAGAAACCAAGTTAAACAGCCGCTCAGATCTTCTGAGTTGTGCAGGTTTCAACGTTTTACGTAAGGATCGCGAGCGAGGTAATGGTGGAGGCCTAGCCTTCATATTGCACAACACCGTGCAATATCGTGTAATCGTTGTTGATATCAACCG